ATAGGTCTGAACATCCTGTGATGCTGACAATCCTGCTCTAGATTAGTCAGACCTTTATACAGCCTGTCTGTCCTTCGTGCAGTCATTACAGCAAGACTAGTACTTTACGTGATGTCCCAGTGAGGAGTGTGATCAGCAACAGCAACAACTTGCATTTACGTAGCTCTCCCTCATGCAGGGTAGCGTCTCAGAGCGCTCGACAGTGGTGGAGCACGACCCCGAGCCGAGCTGCACGCATTTGGTCAGATTCCAGATTAGCAGCAACAGAATAAGGCTCCGATTTCTCCCCCACCCCCACCAGGAGCGTTGCTCTTAAGGAGAGTGGCGGCAGCACTGGACCAAAGGAAACACAATGGAAGGAAATCCCTTTCAGCAATCAAGTCCAGGGTGTTACCACACACATGTGTGCCAGGGTAACGTACAAGCTTCACACCCGCAGTTTCAAGTGAGCTTTGAAACACAACAGGCTACCAAAGTGCAGATTTACAGAGCAGCCTTCACACTGCTACCGACCGAGTGACGGACAGAGAAACTTTCCGTCTCGTAACAAGCAGAGAAACTTTCACCGTGGAGGGAATCCACTCAGCGCACGGTGCGTCCGACCGACCCGGGTTTTAAACTGCCATTTGCATCAACTCCCGTTCTCTCCCTCGGTGCGAGACATTAAACCGAGGTCCCGGCTCAGGTGGACAGCCAGGAGGAGGTGACCATAAGCACGGCCGAAGAGGAAGGTCTTCAAGCGCGATCTGAAGATGGGGAAAGGAGGGGGCAAGGCGGATTATGGCCTGCTGAAAATTGTCAGGGGCAGAAGGGGTTGAGAAGAGAGGTATCAACAGAAAACAGCATCTCGAACATCTCATCAAAACACCAGGCACTAGATTAACAGCGCATTCCTGTGATGCGCAGCAGAAAGGCCTGTGATCTTTTTCGCAAATGATTGGATTGCTGGAATGCATTTGTGGAAGCGTTGGTGTGAGCTCTGGGGCTCGGTTGGGTTGGGTCGGGCCCTCAATGTACCCGGTCCAGTAAATGCGTGTGATAACAACCAACACTAACAGTCTGTAATGGGCCAACCCGTCCTAAAACTGCTTGGATTTTCACTGACGCTAAAGTATCACCGGAGAGACTGTCGGATTACTGCACCAACATCAACACAACCGACTGACTCACTGTTCCAATAGTAGGCGTCAACTTGGCCAAGTCTGGCCTCGCCCCGGGACAGCAGGTCGTGGGCTCAAGCTCCAAATTGGACGTTGAGCTCAGAGTCTAGACACTTCAGTACAATGTTCGGGGGGGAGGAGGGGGGGGAGAGGGGAGTGCGGATTGACAGAAGTGCCGTCAGATGGATCTTTCAACTGATTCGCTATGTTCAAGTGAGCATTAAAGATCCTGTGATGTTATTGGAAAGGAGAAGGGAGTGTCTCCCAGTGTTAATTTGGTTATTCGCCTCGTGGCTATTTGTGAGAACTTGCTGTGCACAAATGGCTACCACTTTTGCCTACTGACAAGTCCCTACATTTGACAGTAACTATTGTGAAGCATTTTTTACGTAAATGGTCACTCAATCCACGATTGTTTTTGTGGGATACTGCTGTGCGCAATTGGCTGCAGCATTTCGCCAACAAAATATACAGTCATTCGGTGAAGTACGTTGAGACGTCTCAATGGTGTGATTTCTCAGACGCATGGATTATTATTATTATTGAGACATTTCCAACTTTAAGGCGCTATAAATATCCTATCTTTCCAAAAGATCTGTACAAAAGATAGGAGCTGCAGCCTCAAGTATATAGGTCACACACAGATCCACCATTCCAGTAAGAAAAATGTTGATGCAAGTCAATTTGACTTATACACAAAGGAGAGCGTCTCAAGGCACTTTACAAAGACTGGATGGATCCCAAGCTGGGAAAAAGATAGGGGCTGAAAGCGCAGTCAAGGTGAAAGCTTTTAAGTGTGTGAGAGACAGAGAGATTTGGGAAGAGAGTTCCAGAGAACTGATGACTGAGTGCTGACTCCGTGTAGACCAACCTTGAGCTAATGTGGCGCAATAAAATGGATTTTTGCCTACAAAATATACAGTCATTCACTTTACAGGATATTCTGTGAAGTGCTTCAAGACGTCTGAACGGCACAAAGCACTGTATCGGATGCAATGATTATGATTATTGTTAATAAGGGGCATTTATACAGCCGTCCTACTGTGGAATCACAGATCCAGTTCGTGGTGGACCCTACAGCCAGCCCCAGCGGGAAGGGAGCACATTGTATGAGTCACACATCAGATTGCACCACAGTGTTAAACAGTCCACATACAAACCTACTACTTATCGAAGCTCCTTCACAACAGCATTCGACAACCTTTCAGAGCACCTGCACTATTCTTTGACCACACCTGTCCCTTGGTGTCAGTAACTCGGCCCACCAAAGCACAAAGGCTTTGGATTCAGGCTTCCAGGTGTCAGATAACTAACCCAACACGCCTTGACACCCGACAAACACACATAAGATCTAAAAAAAAAGAGAAAGTAAAGAACGAAAGAAACACAAAGGGATTATTGGAATTCTTAAGCCACGTCCCCATTGCTCAGTGAGTAAACCCACGAGGTGTGGTCAAAGGGGGTCAAGAACCGGGGCGTCCTAATCGGCTTCGAGATCCTGGTCTTTTTTCTGGTGGTGGGGGGAGGTGGAGAAGAGAAGGAAAGGGAAAGCCAACAAACCACCACATTTCATTCCTGCCCCGAAGCTCCTTGCAAGGATAGGATCATGATTGATTTGAACTGTCTCAGTATCTCCAACATCCACCCAAACAGGCACAGACTGAACCTCAGTTTAACATCTCATTTCTCCCCCATCCCCCCCCCCCCAATCCGCCCACTTTTTTCCCTCTCTCTCTATCTCTCGCTGCTCAGGTCCGCAGTATGCCCCTTGGCTATGCTCAGATAGATCCCTCGTATGATCGCTCTGCCCAGATCCCTTGTCCAGCTCAGGTAGCGTCGCCTAGTTTACCCAGGGGGCTCCCCCTTGTCTCGGCAAAGGCTAACCCCCACACTCTCTCTCTCTCTCTCTACCCAGGCCACAGGAGACCCCTGTCTAGGTTCTGGTAGGACTATCTTCCCCAACACACCCCTTTCTCTCTCCCTCTGCGCGGGGCCCAGATAACTCAGCGTAACTCATTCCGCCCACGGAATGCGCAGTCACCCCACTTCACGGTGTGTCCTGTGAAGCGCTTCGAGACGTCTCAACGCCTCGATAAGGCGCCGGCGTCGAACGCGAGGGATTATTATCATTACACATGATCATCATCGTCATCATCTCCCCTCCCCCCCCCCCACACACACACACTTCTCTCTCTCGCTCTTTGTCCAGCTCAGGACAGGACTATTATAATAATAATAATCCTTGCATTTGATATAACACCTCATCAAGTCTTATCACCTCTCTCTCTCTTGCTCTCTCTCTCTCTCTCTTGCTCTCTCTCTCCCTCTCTCTCTCTCCCTCTCTCTCTCTTGCTCTCTCTCTCCCTCTCTCTTGCTCTCTCTCTTGCTCTCTCTTGCTCTCTCTCTCTCTCTTGCTCTCTCTCCCTCTCTCTTGCTCTCTCTCTCTCTCTTGCTCTCTCTCTCTCTCTTTCTCTCTCTTGCTCTCTCTCCCTCTCTCTTGCTCTCTCTCCCTCTCCCTCTCTCTCTCTTGCTCTCTCTCTCTCTCCCTCTCTCTTGCTCTCTCTCCCTCTCTCTCTCTCTCTTGCTCTCTCTCCCTCTCTCTTACTCTCTCTCTCCCTCTCTCTTGCTCTCTCTCTCTCTCTCCCCCCTCTGCCCCATTGACTTGCTTGACGCCAGTTTGCCCTCGGGCACGAGCTCTGCCCCGCTCGGGCCTACCCCCATTGCCGTCGCCGCTTACCTCAGCCACTCACGCCCACTGTCCGGCCCTCATCCCCGGGTTAGCGGGTGAGGGAGGGTGGGAGGGAGGGAGGGAAGGAGGTCGGTGACCGGTCTCCTCCTGCCACGTCCTTTGCAAAGGGGCAGCAGCAGAAGCGGTCAGTTTCGTCTCTCTCTCCGCCCCCACACACACACACACACACCCCCCACGAATGCACCGTTACCTCCTGAAGCCACTGCCGCCGCGTCCGTCCGTCCGTCCCCGGGGGCTGGAAACATGGCCACCGGAAGCACCCGCCCCTTCAGGCCGGGCTTTCCGGGCTGACGGACGGGCGCCTCCGCCAATCAGGGACAATGAATTATGATTGGCACCCGCCTGACCGCCAATCGGCGCGCTGGGCGGGAGGCGGGCTTTGAGTGACAGCGCGGAGGGGGTTGGGCGGGAAAGGGGCGGGGGCTTTTTTTTTCCCCCGCCCCCGCCCGCCCCCCGGCCCCCGTCGTCCGGCCAGACGACCAATCAGAAGGGAGCGCCCGCTCATTGACGGCGGGCAGGTCCAATAGGATCGCGGGCAAAGGGGCGGGAGGGGAGGAGCGAGCGGGAGCGTCGAGGCGGGACCGTCAGACAGACAGAGGCGAGGGAAGGGGGAAGGGGGCGGGAAACTGGGATCGGTTCCAATCAGAGAGCGCGGCGCCGGTAATTGACAAGCGGTTGGACCAATGGAAACGAGAGCCGGAGGGCGGGGCAATCAGACAGACAAAGGAGAGGGGAGGGGGGAGGTTCAAGATGGCCAATGGCCGCGGGGTGAATGATTGACAGCCGCCTGGGCCAATAGAAAGCAGCGCCTTTGTTTAATAGGACGGCGCCGGGGCCAATCAGGGAGGGGAGGGGGTGGGGGAGGGGCGGGATGGAGGCGGGGCTTAGGCCTCGCGTTGACCGTTGACAAGTTGACGGGGTGAGGGCGGGAAGATGAGGCGTCTCGCGGACTGACTGACTGTCAATTAATTTTTTTTTCCCCCCTCACGGTTTCTCTCCCCCCCCCTCACAAACTCACTTTTTATTCTTTTACCACAACCCCCGCTCCCTTCCCCCACCCCCCACCCCCCCCACCACCTCTCCCTCACCTCCCAAAATTGTTTTAATGAACTCGAGAGAGGCCGTCCCTCCGGCCGCTGTCCTCGGTAACCAAGGTAACCAGGGGGGGAGGGTTGAGGTGGGGGGAGGTGAGGGGGTTCAGGGGGGGTTGGTGGAGGGGGTTCACGGGGTGAGGGGGTTCATGGGAGTGAGGGGTTTCAGGGGGGGATGGTGGAGGGGGTTTATGGGGTGAAGGGGTTCAGGGGGGGTTGGTGGAGGGGGTTCATGGGGGTGAGGGGGTTCAGGGGGATGGTGGAGGGGGTTTATGGGGGTGAAGGGGTTCAGGGGGGGATGGTGGAGGGGGTTCAGGGGGTTGTGGAGGGGGTTCAGTGGGTTGGTGGAGGGGGGTTCGGGGGGTTCGTGGAGGGGGTTCAGGGGGTTGGTGGAGGGGGTTCCGGGGTTGATGAGGGGGGTTCGGGGTTGGTGGAGGGGGTTCATGGGGGGGTTCGGGTGGTGGAGGGGTTCATGGGGTTGGTGGAGGGGGTTCAGTGGGGTTGGTGGGGGGGTTCAGGGGGTATGTGGAGGGGGTTCAGGCGGTTGGTGGAGGGGGTTTCAGGGGCTGGTGTGGGGGGGTGGTAAGTGGGAGTGTGGGGGGGGGGGGTTCAGGGGGGGAATGGGAGGACCACAAGAACAACAATAATAATCCTTGCATTTGATATAGCGTCGTCGAGATGTCTCAAAGTGTTTTGCGGGGTACGCTGTAAAATGGGAGTGACTGTTTTACGGGCGAAACGCGGTAACTGATTGAGTCCTCACAAACAGCCGTGGATTGAGCGACCGTGTTTTTTTGTTTTTGAGGGATTATTAACAATAACCATAATCCTTGCATTTGAGAGACGTCTCCCAAAGCGCTTCACGGAGTCTACTATGAGGTGTATGTTTTGTGGGCGAAACTAAACACCTCAAATATACTGGAAACTCCTGATAATTCGTCCCCCCCCCCCCCCCACAGGGTAACGACTGGGTATTGTTTTTAGGCAAATAACAAAATACAGTGATATACTGCTGACATTTGATATACTGCTTTTCACGTCAAAGTGCCTCAAAGCACTCTCATAGGATTTACTGTAGAGTATTAGTGACTGTGTATCCCTTGGCATAAAGTACTGTGTGTGTATATAATCATCTTTGCATTTAATATCTAACCTTGTCACGTCAAAAGTCCTGAAGCACTTTGCTGTATAAAATGAATTCGAGGCAGCCTATCTGCACGCACCAAGTCACAGAAACGGCCAGAAAGTGAATGACCAATTTTGTCGGAGGGGAGGGGGGGGATCGTCGGGACAGAAACACCCTTCTCTTTTCGTAGAGTGCTGCAAAAATCCTTTTAACGTCCATCTGAACGGGCAGACGGCGCCTCAGTTTAACGCCTCAGCCAAAAATCCTTCTGGGGATTGAGCGCCACCCGCTCGTTCGCTCACCCCGGTCTGGACGCGTCAGCCCAACCTAGGCTTGGGAATTGAACTCGCCACCTTCTGACATAAAAGGCAAGGTTCCCACCGACTTAGCCAAGAAACCCTTGAAAGAGTTCATTGAGTGGGAGGACGCGGAGACTCACTGTATCGAGCACCACCCAAAGGTTGAAAGGCAGACAGCATGAGCATGGCACAGGACATAATGAGTTGGAGAGTAGCTTTTGCTCCCATGGACTGATGAATATTGCGGTTTCAGCTGGTTAGACTCCAGCAGTACCCTAACACACCTCTTTAGGGCATCTATCGTCAGAATAATAATATCAATTTTTGCATTTGATGCAGCACCTTCTCATGTTGTTGAGACGTGATAACTTGTCGAAACTCTCTGACGAGCAGCAGGTGGTTTGTTACACAGTGCTCTCAGTGTGTTTTTGGCTGGTTAAATTCAAGCAGTTGCTCCAATGGACACTCTGGGGCCCCCCAAGCCATGGTTCTCACCAATCTGTGCCTAATACCCTCTGGTATTAGATAAGCAGAGAGTACAAATTCCGTATGGGAGATTTCTGTGCGTAGGTGTTTATTATTATTAAAGCACTTGATCACATCATTGAGACATCACAGAATATACGGTAAAAGTGAATTGACTGTATGTTTTGTTTCCAAAACGCAGCAGCCAATTGAGCAAAGCAGTGTTCCACAAACAGCGGTGCATTGAAAATGTCAAACGTATAAAAATGTTAAATGTCCACAGACTGAGGGGAGGGACAGGCTGATCTGTATCATCAACTAACACCAGAAAACTCTGATGAGCTGGTGCTCTATTGTGTTTAGTTTTGCTTTAAGGTAACTTTTATTTTGCCTTTTGTTGCCTTAGGGACTGCGGTTGTTATGTGGGAATGTTGTACAGTACAACAAAGAGCTGGACCTAAGCAATCAATGCGAGCAAGCTAGCTGCCTCCCTTCACCCAGAAAAAAACATTTCCAGGTACAAAATAATCCCCAGGAAACAAACACACACTGGCTGTTTGCCTTAATGTCAGTCCCTCTGTGTGTGTGTGAGGCCAATGGGAAGTTGGTATCAATGCTATTTGCCTAATGTCAGTTTCTCTGTGTGTGTGTGTGAGAGAGAGAGACACAGAGAAAGAGGCCAATTTGAGGTTGGTGTGAGTGGTTGTTTCCCTCTGTGTGTGTGTGTGTGTGTGGTGAGAGAGAGAGAGAGAGAGAGAGACAGGCCAACGGTAGGGCGGTGTGAGTGGCTGTTTCCCTAATGTTAGTCCCGGAATGTGTGAGAGGCCAATGGGAGGACATTAGGGAAACAGAGGGGCAGTTCGTCACTGTGTGTGTCAGTCAGGACCTGCGCGGCCCCTTTAAGAAAGTGCATTTTTGCTCTCATTTGCAGGACAGTGCCGACAGAGAGCAGGAGAGAGAGAGAGAGAGAGCGAGAGAGAAACGCCGCCTCTGCTGCGGCTCCTCAGCTCCTCAATGAGCCGCTTCGCCATGGAGCCACTGCCTCAGCCCGTCAAGCTATACGTCTACGACCTGTCACGGGGGCTGGCCCGGCAGTTCAGCCCCATGATGCTGGGTGAGTGTGCGCCTGCATTGATGCCTCGGGGCGGGGGAGAGCCGGGCAACAGCTGGGTATAGGAGGGCCTGTAGCTGTCAGACTGAGGTTCTCCCCGCCTGGCTCTGTTAATGATTCTCATGTTCCCAAGCTCACCTTTCTCTCTCTCTCTCTCTCTCTCTCTCTCACTCTGTCTCTTCTCCCTCCATCTCTCTCTCTCTTCTCCCTCCAGCCCTCTCTCTCTCACTCTCTCTCTCTCTCTGTCTCCTATCGCTGTCTCTTCTCCCTTCTCCCTCTCTCGGTCTGTCTCCTCTCTCTCTCTCTCTCTCTGTCTCTGTGGGTCACCTGTCTGTCTCTCTGCGGCTTCTGTGGGCCACCTGTCTCTCTCCTCTCTCTGTGTGGGAATTCAGGGATAGCAATACTGGGTGGGGTGAGTGAGTCCTGGGGACTGTGGGTGTGCGCGTGTGGATACCACAACGTTTTTTTTGACTGGGGACTTGGAGGGAAGGCGAGGATTCCATATCATTTTTTAAAATTGGAAACAAAATGATTCAATGAAAGTCTTTCTTGTCATCCTCTCCCGCACCTTCTTATCCCTCCATCCTACCTGCCTCTTACTCCCTCCCCTATCCGCTGACTCCGCTCAGCTCCGGCCTTCCTGCTTGGCCCTCGTACCCTCCTCCGCTCTGCCATCGGAGGCCGCGCTTTCAGCCACTATGCCCCCAAACTCCGCAGCTGCCACCCTCTGCCTTGCCCCCTCCTTCCTGGGCTTCAGGTCCCGCCTGAAGACCTTCCTCTTCTCCCGTGCCCACAGTCACCTTCCCCCGGCTCGGTGTAGTGCTCCACCACTGTCAAGCGCTCTGGGACGCTATCCTACGTGAGGGGTTTTGTGTAAATGTAAGTTATCGTTGTTGTCACTGGAACAGTCCTTACAGCTTAGATATTTCGTACCCAACATCAGAGTCGTGCTGTAATTATTACGTGTGTGTGTGTGTGTGTGGGCCACCAGCCTGGCCCAGACACTGCCTCATCATGCCAGACGCAAGACTGTCTCTCAGCAGCTCTTAACCCCAAAAGCCCAGTGTCCCACAAACAGTTGTGATTGAGTGACAATTTTTTTGGGGGTTGGGGGCAGATCAGATGCCTACAGGAGAGGGAGGAGGGTTACAATTGACTCTCGACCTTGCCCTCACCCAGTGCCCGCATGTGTGTGAACCAGCACAGGATTAATGATCTGAAACAACCCCCCCCCCACCCCCCACCCTGATCTTCAAAGTTCCCTCTTTTCAACCGCCAGGAGGTGCTTGGGAGCAGCCACAGTGATTCATCAAATATTGATTTAGCTGGAGGACTGTATGTGTGACAGGGCCCAGGCATCCAGTACAAAGCACGACACATCCCACACATCCACCTGACAGACGCACACACACACTGGCAGGGACTGCTTGACCTACATTCACGCTCGTTAAAAGAGGCGGCACGTCTTCGGGAAGTGCGAATAAGTCACTTTCCACGTACAAGTATTTGATCTCATTTGATCCCACACCACTAAATGCACAGTACCAGGGGACAGCCTCCCGACACGAAAGGCGCTCTGTAAATATCATTTGTCGTCTTACGAATTTACGTTGCATTTGAGAATTCCGCTCAGCCTAACATTTTAAGCTAAAGTAATAATCCTTGCATTTGATCTAGTGCCTTATTACGTCAAAGCGCTTCACGTGATATACTGTAAAGTGGACTGACTGTACCTTTTGTGGGCGAAATGGTCTCACAGGCTACGATTAGGTGGAATTTGGGGCCCATTGAACAAAAGAGCTATGAAATCGAGGATTGTTCAAATGTACCTGAACTGTGTTACAGGCCATTAGCCCAGTTCTGGTTCCCTTGTTGCCTCTGTTCATAATTGGCATTGCTCCGCGTTAAAAATGCAAAGGTTTGCCAACTTCAGTCGCCGCTGTGTCAGCTGATCACCATAGGGATACTGTATTTGAACTCCACACCCACGGAGCAGGTTTGGGAGAGTTCAGCCGGGGGGATTGGTTAGCAGCGACACCTAGTGCAAAGTGGGTGCTTATAATATAATGCAATCATTTTTTGCTTTTGATAAGGCGCCCGCCATATCACGTCGTTGAGACGCCTCAAAGAACTTCACCGAATATATTGTAGAGTGCATATTTTGTGGGTGAATCGAGACAGCCAATTGCGCACAGCAGCGTCCCAATCCTGTGTGGGTAATCCTGACTCATAATTGTAATAATTAGTATATATTAATAAGCATAAAGTCAATTAACTTCACACTATTTTCTGTGAAGTGCTTTGAGACTCCTCAACGACCTGAAATGGTGCTATATCAAATGCAAGGATTATTATATTATTGTTGTTATAATAATCCAGTGGAGACCTTCATGTTCTCATGCAGGCTTTGCTGCCCTTACATTAAAGCCTTGATGGCATTGAGTCTGTGTATCTCACTGTGGTGCATATGATGACTGTTAATCCTAAGCAGATGTGCTGGGGTAAGCCACTCTGTGGGATTTGAATCACATGCTGCAGATTCCCATATCCCTGTGTGAGAAATGAGGGTGTTGATCATAATGATGATGAAAATAATCTTTGCGTTTCACATCAGGAGAGGAGGACGTTTCAAAATGGTTCAAACTGCAAAGTACTGTATATATCAATAAAGTATAAAGTCAATCTATTTTACAATATAATCCTGTGATGTCTCCAGAACACTACCCGCATAAAGGGCGCTATATAAATACAAATTGCTGTTGTTTTCTCAACAACGTGATAAAGCGCTATTTCAAATGAAAGGATTATTATTCTTAAGTATAGTGCTGCAAAAGTAGTCCCGATTCATTTTTTTCACTCACTGTGAAGGACATTGCTGTGCCCAAATTGGCTTCCGTGTTTGTCTACAAATTAATTAGTTAATTCATTAAAAATGATGATGTATGATTCCAGGGAGCGATTGCACGTTCCATTCCAGACATGGAAACCTCCTTGTGTAAATCACATCCAAAAATGGAACTCTGTTTGGTTTGGATACTGTTGAGTATGTGGTGAGTTTCCATGTGTGTCTGACCAACAATAAAGCAGGCAGTGATCTCAAAATCCCAAGTGGGGCTTGAATCCACAGCATTCAGACTCAAGTGACTGGAGTGTAACCAACTGACCCAGACTGAGATTGACGTTATTTTTCTCTTTCTTTTTATGTTTGTTTCTAAACAGGAAAGCAGCTTGACGGAATATGGTAAGTAAATGTGGATGCTTCTCAAGCTAAACAGATGCGCAGTTAGATGGGTCAAACGCACCTTTGACCCAAATGCTCTGCTGCACACCCAACCTCACTAACCCAACCTCTCCCGCCCGACCCACCCTCTGGAACGCCATCCCACAGTCCCTTCGCCTCGTTTCCTTTAAGTTCGGTCCTCTTCGATCGTGCCTTCAGTCGCCCTCCCACCTCTCTGCTTTCCTTCACCCCTATCCCACCCCTCCCCCATGCTCGGGTCCTGACCCCTGACTGTCCAGCACCTTGGGAAGTCCTCCCGACGTGAACGGTGCTCTATAAGTTTAATTTTGTCATTGTTGTTGTTCTGTGCTAACTTTTTTGCAAAGATAAATGGTTATGGGAAATAATGTTCTCAGCTGACGTTGAGAACTGGAAAGACTTGAAAGGCAGCGCAGTCCCTTGGTAGTCGAGAGGTTTATTCGGAAAGTGCTTTGGTGATGTCTTTTGTTATTGCTAGTCACCTTGTAATAACAATGTCCGTCTGTGTTTCAGGCACACTGCAGTTGTTGTCAATGGAGAGGAGTTCTTCTATGGATCCAGTGGGATTGCAAATTGCCAGCCAGTAAGTCACGCTCTCTCATTTCTGTACTGAATTATTATTATTCGGGAGACGGGGGAAGCAGATTCTTTCAAGAACAAATCAGATAGATTTCTGTTAAGAAGTAATATCTCGGGATACAATATATAATTGAGACATGACATGTCATGCTACTGCCTGGATGGTGGAAGACAATCTAGATGGATCTTGGACCTCTTTCGCCTAGCAAATTCTTATGTTCTTATGTGGGTGTGTGAGTCCTTTTTGTAAACTCTGCTTCATCTCACTGTATAGAATTATTACATTAATAATAATAATAATAGTTCTTGCATTTGATATAGAGTCTTATCACATCATCGAGACGTCTCAGTGCTTTTCACAGGATTTACTGTAAAGCGGAATGACCGTGTTTCTGTAGGTGAGAGTGAAATTCCTGCAGTGATATGACTGTTTTTTCTCCCCAGGGAGGCACTTTACTAGGGCCCCCGGACTCTGTTATTGACCTTGGTACCACAGAAGTAACGGAGGAGATATTCATGGACTATTTATCGTCACTTGGAGAATCTTCTTTCAGGTCAGTTTAAGCGATACTTCCATGCACATGTGGAACTCACAGTAGTTTGGCTTGGAGACTCTTGCTCGTGTTGTGGGTTTATGTGCACGCATGTGTGTGAGACCCGGCTGATGCCCCCCAAATAATGATTTACAGTGCATACACGGAGGCTGTTTGCTGTGGGGATTTTACATGCTGTAGAATCTGTTACTGCAGAGAAGGGACAGCTCTGTGAGTTTGATTTCCTCTCCTCTCCCTCGTTTTCCCCCCCACTTCCCACACCCTTCTGCCCTCTCCTCTGGTAGCATCAGCCTTTCTCTAAAGTCTCTCTTTTGCCGCAGAGGTGAGTGCTACAAACTGTTTGAGCACAACTGCAACACGTTCAGCAATGAAGTTTCTCAGTTCCTCACTGGGAAGAAGATTCCATCACATATCATGGACCTGCCCGCTGAGATCCTTTCTACGTGAGTTTTCCACCTGATTTTGAAGCGGGGGGTGGGGGGCAGCGCAATGCAGACTCCGAGCTCCAAGGGAGGGAGTGGATCATGGGAATAGCCCTGATATCAACAACAACTTGCATTTATATAGCGCCCCTCACACAGAGTCCATCCCAGAGCACAGAGGGACAGGTGCCAGTTTGCCACAGTTTTTTTAGTGAAGTGACTGGAGCACTGGGAATTATTTAGAGGGATTTGCTGTTCGGATTGTTGTATCATTTTATTGCTCTACCGTGTGTGTTTTTTCTCTTCTCCCTTGGCCCCCTCCCTCGTTCTCTACCTCGATCCCACGCTCCCTCCCCGCCTTGCTCCCTCCCTCACTCTCCTCTCTGACACTCTGTCTCTCTCTCTCTCCCTTCAACCACCACCAGCCCGTTTGGCCAGCTGATCAAACCCATTGTGGACTCTGTGCAGATCCACCCGGCGGGAGGGAACATCGGAGGTCGCCACAACCAGAGCTAATAGGGGCGATTTGCGCCCCCACCCACACACATCCCACCGCCACCCCCCCCCCACCCCCCAACTGACGAGAGGCGTGCGGGTCGCTATCCAGGACCTGGGAGAGACACACCCTCTGCCTCACAGAACTGTGCATTGTTTTTTCTACAAAAAAAAAGAATGAAGATTTCCACTCAAGTATCTTTTGTGTCATATCTGAACTTAGGACGGTTCAAAAGTAGTCGGGGTATTTTTTAACTTCCTTTTGGGGGCCGGGGGGGGTGGGATGGAAACGTATATTGTACAGATAGTCGGTCGCTGTTGAAACGTGTCCCCCAGTGTGTCGTGCAGCCTGCCTCTCATGCGCTGGGCGAAGGCGGGTAAATCGGAGTTGAGGTACTGATCAACCATCTGATAGAATGGCGGAACAAGCTCGAGGGCCTGAATGACCTCCTCCTGTTCCCGTGGCCGGTATACCGCAAGCCCCCAACCCCCGCCATGCTTTCAGTTCCCTGACTGGAAGCCACGCCCGGGGGTGGGGTGGGGTGGGGGTGGGTGGGGAAACGGACGGACGCACACCTCCTGCACGTGGCGCTTACGCGCAGCGAGTGACGCCACTTTACGTGGGCCGCGTGCAGGAAGTTGGGTCGGGCGGCAGCTATTTTTACACAACGCATCTCGTGTTAACGCGGGCCGCCACGGTATAACGCGGTCCGATTGTACCGGCACTTAGCTTGCAGTGTTTCTCAACCGGTTTCCGAAATAAGAAATGTGGGATTGTGGAATCTCTAAATTACTTTGCTTTTAGAAATTTGTTAACCCCACATTCCTGCTAAGAGATGCTACCAATCGGACTCAACTTGAGGTGAATAATGCAAATGATCCTGCCCTCCTCGCCAACGATGCGTGAAATAACACTTGACTGGGTCAAGTCAAGTCCTATTGTTGCTGAGAGATTTACACTCCTGAGCCCCACCGAAGCTTCCTGCCCTAAAAATAGAGCAAAAGTGAAAACCACCTGATGTTTACCTCATTTGCTGCTGCTGCTGCATTCCAGAAGCAGGCGGTCACTTTCCGCTGGCAAATTCTTTCGTTGTGGCTTTAAAGCTGCCCCTTGCCTTCCTTCCGTGCGTGCGTGCGTGGCAGAGACACGCGGGCGGCAAAGACTGGCGTGGCAGGGGTGCGCGTGACCCGTTTCCACGCACCGGAGCTCATTTCACAGCCCACGTCAGTTGCTCTGCTCGTCTGCCGAGACCCTGGGCTGACTTGACTTGCTGCACGCTCTCTCTCTCTTGCGCTCTCTCTCTCTCTCTCTCTCTCTGTTATCCCGTATCGGTAAACATTCTCGCCTGTTAAACTTCCGTGGAAACCCCTTGTGTGTTTTAAATCTTTTGACGCGGACAAATAGCTGTTTCGCCCTTTCCACGGTTATTATTGCGCGCGGGAATATTTTACGTACTTTATTCTGGTATTGTGTTTATTCCGACCTAACGACACAGCAAAAGGCAGGAAGGATGCTGTTTTGATGGGCAAGTTGCAAATCAGATTGAGAATTGTCTAAATTCTTTGCTTTTCTCGTGTGTGTGAATAGTTCCGCTGTATCCGTTTCCCTGCCTGACAACGCGCACACGTTGGGGGTGGGGGGTGGGTGCGGGAGTTCAATGCCGTTTCTATCCACCATTGATATTCAGGCAGTGCTAAACGTATCAGTCGCACACCATTATCCCAGTGCTGCTAGCAAGCTCTCCAGGCTGCTTTTCCCTCTGTCCCTTATCTTCACTTACCGGCTGCTAAATCCAGGATTAATTTCCAAAGCAACAGCTCTCTCTCTCTCTTGTCTCTCACTGAGCGGATTCAGATGATGATGTCTTTTGAACTTGTCACTGCTTTGAAAGTAGCTCTTGTGCGTTGCTGGTGGAACGCAGGGACAAAAGCACTTCCCATCTGGAATAGAGATGGGGTTGGTGCCTTGTCCACGCACCGTAGAACTGTTTTGCTGTGCAAAGAACTTTGCAGCACAGACAGAAATAGGTCGTTCGGCCAACCAAGTCTACACTGACGTCTCTCTTCACCAGCTATGTTTTATCCCACTTAGCTGCTCGCTTCCCCTCCCCGCATACTCTTTAATCTTCCTCCACCTCAATCCTGATTTAATTCCCTTTTATAAAACGATACGACTCCACTCCAACGGTGCTTTAGGAACATAGGGAGTCAGGAGTAGGCAGAGGCCATTCAGCCGGTCGAGCCTGTTCCACCGATTTACACATTCTTTGGCGAACCTGTTAAAACGTCCTGCCCTTTCGCAGTAACTCTTATCCACTCGTGTCTATCTCGCTCTTAAACATTCCTATGGATTCCGCCTCTACAGCTTTCTGGGCAGAGTGGCCCACATCGACAGAACCCATTATCTTTGTGACCTTAGTTGTTTTGGTTCTGATTTTATGGTTATGCCTCATTTTCCCCCGCCGCCCCCCTTCCCTGTAAGAGATCCTTCTAACCAGTTCTAACCCGTCAGTTCCTTTCATTATTAAATACCTCAATCAAGTCACCTCTTCCAACCTCCTCCACTGTAGGGAATATATATATATTCAAGTAATAATAATAATTTGGTCGCTTAATCCACAACTGTTTGTGGGACGCAGCTGTGTGCAATTGGCTGCCGCGTTTTGCCAACTAAATATACAGTCAATTCACTTTACAATGTATTCTGTGAAATGCTTTGAGGCGTCTCGAAGACGTGATAAGGTGCTGTATCAAATAAAAGGATTATTATTATTGGCTATATATATAGTCTGCCTATCATAGCTAAGTCACTTCATCTCAGGTATTGACGTAGTGAACCATTGCTAGAAGTGCCCTCCAATTTAAGATCAGGTGCCCCAAACTGAACACAATAAATACCCCTGAGGTCTAACCAGCTCTCTGTATAACTCAAGCACGCTGGCACCTCCTTTTATACTCCAGACCTTCTCTTGTCTGTTTGTGGCGTAGAATATCACATTCCAAGCCCCTGTACAAAGAAAAGAAAGTTCTCTCTTTATTCCCTTCGCCCCCACCACCCCCACCCATTCTCTTGTTACGTTTTGCCCGCAAAATACACAGTCAATTCACTTTACAGTATATTCTGCGAAGCGCTTTGAGACGCACTTGAAGACGTGATATGGCGCTACATCAAATGCAAGGATTTTTTTATTTACCAGCAGCGTAGATCTGTGACTGTTTATCCTGTTGTAACCCTTCGTAATCTTGACGATCATTATCAGATTATTATCTATTATTATCGGAAGATTATGTAATAATATAATATAATTAGCTTAGTGCAGAAGGGGCCCATCCTTCCAGGATGCCCTCCCTACCGTTTCCTCTCCATCACTGCTTTGCGCGACCTGAAACTGCTGCCTCCCGGTGTGAGTTAGCAGAACTTGTGCGGTCACCTGAAGTCGGTAGCGCAGAAACATTTACTTCTTCCACACGCAGCAGTCCTCGTTGAACGCCGCGTTCGCCCACAGACATACAGTCAATTCACTTGACAGTGTGTTCTGTGAAGCGCTTTGGGACGTCCTCCCGACGTGAAAAGCGCTATATCAAATGCAAGGATTATTATTATTATTGTAACGCCGCAGGGCGCGGCGTCCAAATGAGATGGAAGCTCCGTGAAGCGCTTTCTCAATGAGGTGACAAGGCGCCACATCAAGGGTGTTAAGGTTTACTAGGATTATTTGTGGCAGAGAATATCACATTCCAAGCACCCGGACAGGGAAAGGAAACTTCTCTCTTTCTTCCCCATAAGGTTTATTGTAATGACCTTGTTGTATCTGACTACGAATCGCTGCCTGCCACGCAAGCTCCCAAGGAAATCCATTCGAATCCGGCTGAATCCTTCCTTGGTTCTCTCTTTCCATTGAGAAAGAGGAACGAGTTGGGTGCATAACGTGAGTCAGTTCAGGCTTTATAGCAGCGAAGCCCAAGAGCTGATTAGAGTCAGTGAGTCTGCGACTGCTGGGTGTTTGCTGCAAGATTGCGATGCCGCAGACTCAGGTTTACAGGTACGGAAGGTCAGGTATGTAGAAGTGAACTTTAATCTCTGAGACCCAGGTACACGTGAGGTGTGTCTGGAATGCTTGTTTTCCTCATCATTCTCTGTGTTGCACAACCCTTTGACCTTGTGACTGCTCAGTCATGAATTGTCTTCCAGTCGTCTCTTTTTTTTTTTTGCCTGTTTTCTCCCCTAAAACCACCCTAAACTGACTCCAAGTTGACATGCTTGGCGATGGAGTGTCGGAATTGAGTCAGCCCTCTGTGGCGGTCTCGGTATTCCGGCTCCTGAGCCAGGCGGAGAGGGGAGGGAGCTTGCATCCTAATGGAGGGGTGAGGGAGGGCAGGGTGAGAAATGACATTAAGTCTCCCCCCTTCCCACGCCGCATTAAAAACATGCATACCCCCCCCCCCTTTACATCCAAGCCTGACTGAGGAAACTCTGCTCCCCCCACCCCCACCTCCCCCAATATTTTACTTGCTTTTCACTGTGAAAGCACAGATAACATCAGGGTATCAGACTCATCGAAAAGCAAACAGCGCAGTCTTGAATTCAACCTAACAAGGAAAGTCCTCGTTTTTGGGTTTAAGGCACGAGTTTTTCCACCGGCACCAACAGTGCAGGTCCAACGTATATCATTTTTGTTTCTGTTCCTGTATTTTGTTCTTTTGCACAGAAATCGACCTCGTTTGTCTTGTACGGATTTTGTTTTTGTTCAATGTGTCCGTGTACGTTTTCAGAATCGCCAATAAAGAGTTTTATTAAAGACTTGCTTACCCCCCCCACCCCCCCCCCGTGCCTTATGTCCCGAACGGCATTCCGGACAAATCGAGTTTGCCAAGAGTTTTTTTTTTTTTACGGAAACGACTTGGGTTCCTCACGGCGCCCTTCAGGCAGGGCAGGGACTCGGAGCGGAGTTGGGAGGGAATGGAGCTGACTTCACGCAAGGTGGAAGACGTTCGGGTACGACCTGAAGGCAGGCAAAGGAGGGGTTAAGACGGAGGAATTGAGACAGGGACTCGCACGTTTTGGGGACGTGTTGGTTGGAATCGACGGACGGGACGATGAATGTACAGAAAACCGGAGCCGGCTGAGGGAAGGGCTCGGGTAGAGGAGCGGGATGTGAGCAGGGCTGAAGTTTTCAGAATCGCCAGTAAAGAGTTCTTTTATTAAGCCACGGCCACTGTCCCCCTGTCCGGGAATTCGAGCTCGTGAGGAGTTTTTAACAGCAACAATTTGCGCTCGTACAATGCGCCTTCAGGCAGGGCAGCGTCTCGGGGAGTGGAATGGCGGAGCCTGACCCTGAGCGAGATAGGGAGGGAAGGAATTAGAGAGGGCTTGAAAATATAACTTAAATAATCTTTGTATTTGATACCGCATCTGTAATGTCTCGACCGGAATCCTGGACAACAACACACACCCCCCACCCCACCCCACCCCCGAATAAAATCGGTCGCTCGTTCCACGACTGCTTTGTGGGACGCTGCTGTGCGCAATCAGCTGTCGTGTTTCCCTCGCAAAATAAAGTCACTGCGCTTTACGGCGTATCCTGTGTTGACGACGTGTCCAGGCGCTATGTCGAATGCAAGGATTATTACTGTCGGAGCGTTTGGGGGAGGGGGATCGAGATCAACGACAAATAATAATAATAATAATAATCCTTGCATTTGATATAGCGCTTTTCACGTCGGGAGGACGTCCCAAAGCGCTTCACAGAACACACTGTAAAGTGAATTGACTGTATTTGTGGGCGAAGACTTGCATCTAATATAGCGCCCTTTGTACGGCGTAGACTCCCGGAGCGCTTAGCAGTGCCGGAGTCTGACCCCCGAGCCCAGGCGGGGGTGGTGGTGGTGGGAGGTGACCTTACGAGATTATTTAAGACTTAATCTCTATCTGACAATCGCTGAGCTGTGTGGTGTTGTGTTGCTCCAGGCTCTGTGAAACGATCGATTGCTTGCCAGCGCTTAAATCTTCCCTCCTGCTTCCCTGGTCGATTCTGACTTCCTTTACAGAGACTGCCTCCCTCTCTCTCCCTCCCTCGCTCCCTCCCTCCCTCCCTCCTTCCTTGCAGATGTGCAGTGTCTGCAGAATTGGAATTAGCGTGTTAATATCAGCTATCTCCCTCCCTGTGTGTGCGTGCGCGTGTGCGTGTTTCTGGTGTGTGTATCTGTGTTTGTGTTTCTTTCTCTGTCTCTCTCTCTCTCTATCTGTGCGTCTGTGTGTTTGTCTCTGCCTGTGCGAGCGCGCGTGTGTGTGTGTGCATTTCTAGCCGTGTCTGTGTGTGTGTATGTGTGTGTCTCTCTCTCTGTTGTACGTGTATAAATCCACTTCCCCTTGGCATGTGATCACTGGCGTCAATTGTGTGTCAGTTTCGCAAGTTCCTCCCTGCTCCCCCACCCACTGACACATACCCACACACACACACACACACACACACACACACGCGCGCGCCCAGAGCCGAGAAATCAAATTCAAACTAGGCAAAGAATTAAGAAAAGGAGAGAAGAAGTGACAAAGCAGATGGATGAATCCGTTCGAGAGCCACACACCCTCTGCCTCTTTGATGTGGATGGAACTCTCACCCCAGCCAGACAGGTAAGGTAAGCTTGAGAGGTTATTGTGACAAGGTCATACCTGTCAAGTCTGTGTGCGTGCGTGTATGTGTATGTGTTATGCACAATGCGGTGTAAGGCTCACTTGAGCCTTCCCCCCCCCCCCCTCCCCACTGTTGATTCAGATGTTAGGAGCTGAGCTAAGTTTAATTCTGACCTACACGCTATCCCCTTGTCAAGGAGAGTCAAAACAAGAAGAGTGTGTTTCACACGCTAAGGTCACTCAGCTGATTATACAGAGGTGGTTAGAGCGCTCGCTTCACAAGCGAGAGGACCCGGGTTTGATTCCCGAGCAGGGCAAAACCTTAAGCAAGTTTCCTCAACCCACCCACCCGCGCGCGCGCCTCTGTTACCGACCGAATGGAATACGGTTGTTAATCGATCGACGGATTGTTCCCGGGTATAATAATCCCTTCGAAAGAAATTTGGGTCACTCAATCCACGACTGTTTGTGGGACACTGCTGCAGCGCAGTTGGCTGCCATGTTTCGCCCCTCAAAATACACCGTCAATTTTCTGTGAAGCCTTTCGCTTTTCAAATAGCGCCGCGGGAGATCTTTACGTCCACTCGAACAGGGTAACGTCTCATCCGAGACATTACTTGTACAATGCAATTAGTCAGTGTCTTGAGGGGACAGTGGGTAAAAGCACTGTGTCCTTCAGTAATGGTAAATTGATTTAACTCTACGCTGAATCTTTAACTCATTAATATAGGGTTCCTTTAAGAACACTCATCCTACTATCCTCCCATTGCAGCTGTTTCTCAAATGACCCTTTTCCCGGTCACACAGATTCCGGCTGTTAGCTCCTTCCCTCTGCGAAGAAGTACTTTATAACATGTTTAGTCACAAGAAGAGTGACTGTGTGGAGTCCCGTTAGATCCCTCGCCTCGAAAGCGCGAGGACTCGGGTTGAATTCCCGGGCAGGGCAAAACCATAGGCAAGTTTCCTTACTCCACACACACACACACGCCTCTGTTTACCCAGTAGTAAGTAGGAACCCGGCGGTTAGTCGATTGATGGATCACTTTCCAGGGGTATTAATCCTTTCAAAAAAATGAATAAAGAAATAATTTGGTCGCTGAATCCACGGCTGTTTGTGGGGACGCTGCTGTGGCGCAATTGGCTGCCGCGTTTCACCCACAAAATACACAGTCAATTCACTTTACAGTATATTCTGTGAAGCGCTTTGAGACGTCTCGATGATGTGATAAAGCGCTATATGTGATTCGAGGATTACTTTTACTATCCTTCCCTTCTCTCCATCTCCCTCCTTTCTCCCACCCTCCGTGAAATCATCAGACACTTTTTCTCACTCTGTCTCTGCCCTCACCCTCCGCCCCTCGTGTACACGCAGAAAATAGCACCAGAACTGGATGAGTTTTTCCAGGGGCTGAGAAAGAAGGTGAAGATTGGTGTGGTCGGTGGTTCAGATTACTCCAAGATCGCAGAGCAACTAGGAGACGGAGAGGAAGGTAAGGACAGCTCGGGTTTGGGGGACCTTTAATGAAGAGGATGCTAGCGGGTTAGACTCCAGCAGTTACCCCAACGCACACCCTGGGCCCTCCCAAGCCTTCATAATATTCTCCCATTCTTCCTCCTTTCTCCCATCCTCCGTGAAATTATTATTATTATTATTCCCTTCCAAAAAAAGATTTTTTAAAAAATAATTGGTGGCTCGATCCATGAATGTTTGTGGGACACTGCTGTGCGCAATTGGCTGCCGCGTTTCGCCCACAAAGCTATTATAGTCAATCCAGTTTACAGTATATTATGTGAAGCGCTTTGAGATGTCTCAACGATGTGATAAGGCGCTATATCAAATGCAAGGATTATTATTATTTTCCTCGCTCTCGCTCAAGAAACCATTGGCCGTCTGACTTGTGCGAGGTGTGGGGGCGATGATTCTTGTCCATTATTATTATTATTGTTATATACCAATTATTATCATTATTTGCATCTCGTCTCTGTTCCAGTCATTCAAAAATTTGATTACGTCTTCGCTGAAAACGGACAGTCCAGTATCGAGATGGTATGTTTATCGCAAAGGAGGTAAGTCCATGTACACTAAATAATAATCCTTCCATTTGATATAGGGCCTTATCGCGCTGTTGATTTGCGTGGTTGACTGGGGGGGGGGTGTGTGGGGGGTGTGGGGAGAGAGAGAGTGTGGAGAGGAGAGAGAGGAGGGGTGGATGGCGGAAGGACGTTGTTGTTTCGACCACAAAATACACAGTTGATTCACTTTACAGTGCATTCTGTGAAACTCTTTGAGACGTCGCAAAGACGTGATAAGGCGCTGAATCAAATGCAAGGGGATTATTATTATTATTATTATTATTATGATGTTTCTTTGTGTTTGTTACATGGGTTTTTGTCCGCTATTCTAACCAGAACAACCTCCCTCCCTCCCTCTGCCCTCAGGCCATCCAGAACTGCTTGGGTGAAGAGTTGCTGCAGGACCTCATCAACTTCTGTCTCCGCTACATGGCTCTGATCAAACTGCCCAGGAAGCGGTAATAATAATATTAGTAATAATCCTTTGTATTTTATATGGCGCTGTATCACGTCTTCGAGGCGAGAGAGGAGAGAGAGAGAGAGAAACTCCTCTTTTCGAATAGCGCCATCGGATCTGAACAGGCAGACGGGGAACAAGGTTCAACATCTCGTCCGAAGGATGGTGCCTCCCTCCGTCAATGCACCCCCGCACCCCCCCACCCCACCCACCCCCCCGGCGCTTACACCCACTGTCCCACCTCCTTCTGTTCCAGGGGAACCTTCATTGAATTTCGGAATGGAATGTTGAATATCTCCCCCGTAGGCCGGAGCTGTAGCCTGGAAGAACGCATCGAATTTTCCGAGACGGACAAGGTAAGAGTGGAAGGATAACTCCCCCCACCTCCCGCCCCCCCGCCACCCAAAATAAAATTGGTCGTTCACTCTATCACTGTTTGCGGGACGCTGCTGTGCGCAAATCGGCGGCTGCCGCGTTTGAACCGCAAAAGAAGTCTCGACTGCGGGATCAGGCGCAATGTCAAATGCAAGGATCCCACTGTCCCCTCAAGACATTGATATTATTTATGATTATCTCCTCTCTCTCTCCCTCTCTCTCTCTCTCTGTGCGGTCTCCTCCCTTCTCTCTACGATCTTTCTCTTAAAACAGAAGGAAAAAATACGAGAGAATTTCGTGGCAGCTCTGCAGAAGGAGTTTGCCGGCAAAGGACTGAAGTTCACGAAAGGCACGTGAGGAAGTATTTGCGTGCTTGCGTGCGTGTGTACGCACGTGTAAGCTTGTGAGTGCGTGTGTTGGTGTGTATTAGTATACAATATATAGCTTGGGACATGACACGTGCAAACGACTGCCAGGATGGTAGCAAATTCTGATCTGCTTATACATATATGTGTCTGCGTTTACAGTATATGTGTACTTCTTGCTGTGTGTGTGTGTGTGTGTATGTGTGCGCGTGTGAGTGTATTTGTCTCGGAGTGTCAATCTAGAATGAGCTCAAAATCCCTGACCTGGGCGCTACAGCTCACAACCTTCTGACTCGGAGGTGAGAGAGCTACCAGTGAACCGGGTTTCCCAACAGTCAGCGTCTCGCAGGCTAAGGCCGTGAGGAATGGTGTGCCTGTTCCCCAAAACGCCTCACTTTTTCCCTTCCCCTTCCACGCTTTTCTCAGGAGGGATGATCAGTTTCGACGTCTTTCCCGAAGGCTGGGACAAACGCTACTGCCTGGACATCCTGGAGAAAGATGGAATTAAAACCATCCACTTTTTCGGGAACGAAACAGATCCGGTAAGCGGATTTTTTTGGGGTGTGGTGGGCGCGGGGAAGGGATTATTACCCTCTGGAAAGCAATCCGCAAATTGACTAACACCCGGGTTTCAACTTACCGCTTGGTAAACAGAGGGAAACTCGCCCAACGTTTCGCCCCGTCCGGCAATCGAACACGGCTCCTCTCGCTCGCAAGGCGTGTGCGCTAACCACTACGCTACAGGGACTCCAGATATATTCAAGAGGAAGCTAGACTTTCCCGTGAAGGAGAGGGGAATAGAAGGATATGAGAGGGAGTAAGGAGTGGGGGAGAGACTTGCGCAGTCAGTTGCCTTCGCAGTATATTCTGTGAAGCGCTTTGTGACGTCTCAACGGCGCGATACGGCAGGGGTTATATTATTATTAATATTGTTAATGTGTGGAGTATAAACACCGGCACGGACTGAGCCAAGTGGCCCATTTCCGTGCTGCACAGTCCCGTGCAAATCCACGTCGAGTTGTGAATCTTTGGTGCGTCCCGAAAGCCTTTCTCCGGGTTGACTGTGTGCCTTTGGCGCAGGGCGGCAATGACCACGAGATCTTCCAGGACCCGAGGACAATCGGGCACACGGTGGCGTCTCCCGAGGACACAGTCAGACTGTGCAAGGAGCTCTTCAACTGAGCCGGTGGCCACCGACTGGTCGAAAGCTCAATGGTGGAATCGAAGAGAAAGCGAGACTGACCGCCGGTCGGGCTAATGAACAGGTTCCCCCCCACCCCCCCACCCCCACCTCCGAGTGGGGCGGAGGTACGCGAGCCCTGGATTATGCACAGACACAAACCCCCTCCCACCCCCGCTCCCCACTTCCCCCACTTCTGCTCCATTCACGTAGCCTCTCAGGTAAATTGCGCGTGTCAGCCTGGCTCAGTCTCTCACGCCTCCGAGTCAGAAGATTTGTGGGTTCAAGCCCCCCACCGTCCTTCGGATGAGACGTTAAACCGAGCTCCCCGTCTGTGCCTGTTTCAGGTGGACGTTAAAGATCTCTCGTGGTGCTATTCGAAAGGAGAAGGGAGTTCCTCTCTCTCTCTCTCTCTGCCCCAGTGTCCTGGACAACAATTCCCCCCCCAAATAAAATTGGTTGTCGTTTACATGGCTGTTTGCGGGGACGCTGCTGTGCGCAAATTGTGCTGCCGCGTTTCGCCCACAAAATACACAGTCGCTCCACTTTACAGTAGCACTTAGAGACATCCTGATGCTGTGATAAGGTGCTGTATGTTATGCAAGGTTATTATATTACCACGGTAATCATTTGAACTGTGATGGAAGTTGTTTTTTTTTCGTCGTCCGGGCGTCTGACTTACTCGGGAACGTGCCGAGTCTCACAGCGCTTCACAACGGCGTGATCGGACGCCGAGATGGGAACCATGGACATGGTGGTGAAGTGTGAGGTGGGGGTGGTTGGGGGTAGGCAAGGCAGGGAACTCCAGAGGCTGGGGGGTGAGGGAAGCGAAGGGGCCAGGGGACATGCTGCAGGATTGCATTAGTTAGAGTAAAGGCGGGAGGGCGGTGAGGGGGAAGGCAGTTGTGCAGAGGCAAGCTTCGAGTGTGCGTTGGGGCTGACCGCTGGAGTTAAACCACATAGCTTGCCCGTTGAGAGCGGGTGTCTGGCAAAAGCTTGCAAGCTGCTTGTCCAGCTGGGACCACCCTCTCCGTCAGGGCTTTGGCTCGGGACTCCCGAGAGAGAGAGAGAGAGAGAGAGAGAGAGACCGCCACAGAGGGCTGGCTCGATTCCAGCATTCCTTTGCCAAACACGTCACTCCGGAGCCAGTTCACCAACCCCCCCCCCCCCCCCCAAGGTGACCACCACCCCCTCTTCAATGAGAATAAAACGCTGCAGTCTTTAGGAGCGACCTGACTGGAGCACTAATGAGGCTCGAGGATTTCAATCCGCGCAGCCCCTTTTGGATTGATCCCAGGGCCTTTAATTCAACGCAGCCCCTGGACTCTTTAATTCAACCGGCTGCCCGACAAGCAGACCAGTGTCCTGCGGACCGAGCGAGCCGTGAATTAATTTTGCCCCACAAAGGCAGCGGGGAGGGTTTCCAGAATGCACACATCGCCGTGGAAACCACCAGCACAGATTATTAATAATACAATGACCCCCTTTTTCTTTTTCTACAGACACCCGCGCGCGCACAGACACGCACACGCGCGCACACGCGCGCGCGCGCACGTACACTTGATGTACAAGAGAGTAAAGTCACCTTCAGAGAGATTTGTGAGTGTGAGAGTGCGCACGTGTGAGAGTGTGTGTGTGTGAGTGTGTCCGAGAGTGTGTGTGTGTAAGTGAGTGTGAGCGAGAAAGATCCTGTGATGGGGGCCATCTGGGATGAAATTCCACCTGGGACTAGGTGTAGCACCTCTAGCGATGCAAGTGTGTCTGCCAGACAGACAGACTCGGGGGCCAAAGGCGGATAATTGGGAGTCAAGCTACAGATCGGCCATAATCTAATAGAATGGCGGAGCAGGCTGGAGGGGTTGAATGGCCTCCTCCTGTTTCTAGGTTCCCGTGTCCCAGACAGTCAGTGAGAGGTGAGTGAGTCAGACAGACAAAGAGACAGTCAGTCAGTCAGTGAGACAGAGAGCCAGTGAGATAGTCAGTGATAGTCAGACGGACCGGCAGAGCTCCGAGACGTTACCCCGTATGAGGGGCGCTGTGGGTTGTTGGAAGGTGCGGTTGTTGTTGACAGGGAATCGGATAAGATCCTGAGGGGTGGGAAAGGTCCTTCGACCCATTTGATCTCATCCTTCCCGGAACCTCTCTTCGCAGTACATCGCAGACAGAGAAAGAGAGGGAGGGAGGGAGGGAGGGAGGGAGGGAGGGAGAGAGAAAGCAACAACAAGGCGTCCCCCCAAACCCCCCCATCCCCAGTGCCCGGGGAACAGACAAGGTGATTGACACCATCGAAGGTTAAGACAGCATATTTTATTGGCAGTCAGAGCACATTCAACCTAAAGACTTTTTAACAGTGTGAAATCCCGTTACATGACGTGGCGGGGTCGGGGTCTGAAAGAAAACAGCACAGAAACGACCACGTGTCTCCCACCCCCACCCCTTTTCTTTCTCACCTTCTCCCCACCCCTCATCACCCCTCTGCACCCCTCCCTCTTACCCTAACCCGCCCTCCACGCACCCCAGACACAAACACGCACACCCTCTACGCTCCTGCCTTTTTTCTCTCTCGCCCCCCAATGCAACCTCAGTAACCTCCTCTCCCCACACACAAACACACACACCCTCCCTCCCCTCTCTCGCCCCCCCCCCCTCCCTCCCCACTCCCATCCCGACCAACACACACACACACACACCCTTTCTCACTCACCGACTCATTAGAAACTCAAAGCTACTTTTATACAATCGTATTAGTGGAAAAAAAAACCATAACAGTTTTACGGCGATAACAAACGGAAAAAAAATACACTTCACAGAAAAAAACACCTCTCTCTCCCTCTCTCTCTCTCTCTCTCTCTGTCCGCTAACTATGTACATATATTTCAAAAGGTCAAGGTGGCACCTGTAGAGGTGATCAGAGGGTGACGGAGCCTCAGGAATGCATGATCTGCCCAGACCACGTCTCGTGTTTTGTTCCCGGAGCTAAGTGTGTCAGCACAACCTCGACCGCCTGGTACTTCAAGTTCTTGGGGGGAATGGCACAGATCTTGTACGTCACCTCGTCTCCTTCCACAGGTACATATTCGCCCTCGATGCTAGCGGGAGGGAGAGTATTGAGAGAGGGAGAGAGAGAGAGAGGAGAAGGAATATAACCTTTAATCAAGGTTTCGTCCACAAAATATACAGTCAATTCACTTTGAGACATCTCGAAGACTCGATGAGGCGCTGCATCGGATGAAAGTATTATTATTAATATTATTAAGGAGGCGAGGAATTCTCGCTCTCAGCTCCCGTTCATCCTGCAAGCCAAAGCCCTAACCGGTAGTTGGACAAGCAGCGGGAGACTCAGCAGTTTCCCCAACGCACCCTCTGGGCTGCCCCCCCCCCCCCCCAAGCCTTGGCTCCTGCCAAAACATGCGCCTGATGCTTAGCTAAGCAGGACGCATCCCTCCAGAGAGAGAGAGAGAGAGAGAGAGCGTTCCATTCCGACAATTATCTTTCATTTCCAGGTGGGAATCCTGGAATTCTCAACGTGATTCGGAGACTCTTAAACAGCGTTGACGGGTTTCTGCGTGGGTCGGACACCCGGCCGGCTAAAATTAAAAAAAAGAAGAACATTCAAGGTAGAAGGATTGACTCACTCAGAGATATGTACAAAAATGTCCTCTCCCCCCTTCTTGGGGATAATAAAACCGTGTCCCTGGGATCGGGAGAAGCATTTGCACGTCCCTTTGTACAGTGGGCCCAACGTGGCTCGAGCAGCCCTGCGCGAGGAAAGAGAGCGTCACCGAAGAACATAGCATTATCCAAAGTAATAATCGTTTGGTCGCTGAATCCACGACTGTTTGTGGGGACGCTGCTGTGCGCGATTGGCGGCCGCGTTTCGTCCACAAAACACACAGTCACTCAACGTTACATTTGCCTCCACTTCCTACCTCTGTGACCGGCTAATCCCTGCACTCCCTCCACTCAGCACGCTGTGCCCTGCTCCATATCCCCGCCCGGCCCACCCCACCATCGCCGGTCAGGGCTTCAGCCTCTCTGCCCCCACCCTTTGGCACTCCATCCCACAGTCCCTTCGCCTCCCAGCTCCCTCCCTCGCTTCCTTCAAGGCACGTCTCAAGAACCTCCTCTTCGACCGTGCCTTTGGCCACCCTCCTACCCCCTACCCTCCCTGCCCTCCACCTTCCCTCACTCCAACTCTCACACCACACCCCGACTGTCCATCCAGACCCTTGGGACGTCCTCCCGACGTGAAAGGCTCTATACAAATGTCATTTTGTACAGTATATTCTGTGAATCGCTTTGAGAAGCCTCGACGATGTGTTAAGGCGCTGCGTCAAAGGCAAGGGTTATTATACTTACGCAGAGTAGGTGCGGGTGCGTTTGGTGGGGAGGGGGCTGGGCAGGTCACCAGGGACTATGCCCCCGCGCTCCCAGCTCCTTCCACCCTCGTGGGGGTAGAAGAGGGACGGCAGGACGGGGGAGCGGGGGGAGCGGAGCTGCTGGGAGAGGGGGGGCTCTGCCTGATCTGATGACATATCGTCTGTGTGACTCCCGGCTGCAGTATGTCTGCGAGAGAGAGGGAGAGGGAGAGAGAAGAGGGATAAATTCATAAATATAATTTATAAATAAATTCATGTTCAACAGTCAAGTCAGCGATCCGTTCAGTCAAAAGGTTGTGGCTTCAATTTAATAATAGTAATAATAATAATAAACCTTGCATTTAATAAAGCACTTTATCACCTTAGCGCTTTGCGTAGCGTCTGCGAGACGTCTCAAAGCGCTTCGCGGGATACACCGTAAAGTGAATTGACAGTCGTACATTGTGTGGGAGAAACACGGCAGCCGATTGCACACAGCGGTGTCCCACTCGTTCCCCGACGTCAGGGACTTTGAGCTCACAGTACAGGCTGGCGTTTCAGTGCCGTGCTGGGGCAGCGCTGCATTGTAAGAGGCACCGTCCTTCATAATAATAATAATAACAATAATAATTCTTGCATTTAATAATAAACTGTCCCACAAAGAGTCGTGGATTAAACATCGTGGGTTAAACAGCTCCAACATCCAGCCGTTCAACTCCTGCTCCCCTCAACATCTGGTTCCAAACCAGCAGCCCCCACTCACTCTAACACCTGGCAATGTAGCAGCCTCCGCCACCACCTCAACATCTGGCTATACAGCAGCCCCCCCCCCCACCTTACCCCCAACATCTGGCCATTCAGCTCCTCCCTCACCTCAACGTCCGGCAATGCAGCATCCTTGCATAATCTTTGCATTTGCATTTGATACGTTGCCTCATCGCCTCTTCGAGGCGTTTCAGAGCGCTTCACAGAATATACTGTCAAGTGTACGACTATATGTATGTTTGGGTGGGGGTGGGATTGGGGGGGGGCGAAAAACAACAGTGCCCCGCAAACGATCGTAGGGATTGTGTGACCACATTATTGTTGTTGTTATTTTGAAGGGATTATTACCCCAACATCTGGTTATATGCCCTCTCCACCACCCCAATATCTGGCCATACAGCTCCAGCAAACCCCCCCCCCCTCCCCACCGCCCGCCCCAAACATCTATAAATAGCTTCCCACCACCACCCCCAACATCTGGTTCTAGCAGCATTGAGAAAGCCTGAGGAGAGGGTGGGGGGGGACGGGGGACGGGGGGGACGGGAGGGGTGCTAGATGGAGGGGGAATTACACCCGACCATTCCACTCCACCTCCCACACACACACACAACACACACACCCTCCACCTTCAATCAAACCCAAAACGTCAAAGAAAAAAAAAACCTAAATTATTCAAACCAAATGCAAAATGATTTTGGGGTGGGTTTTCTCTTTTTTTTTGCACCGAGCGAGAGCGAGAAAGGGAGGGAGAGAGAGAGAGAGAGAGAGAGACACCACGGGAAAAAAAGAAACCTTAGGGGAGGTAAAGAGCAAAGAGATGGAGACAGAAAGAGGAGAGAGAGAGGAGAGAGAGAAAGAGAACAGCCATGAAGGAGAGAGAGAGAGAGAGAGAGAGCATCACATACTTACACACACATCGTACAATAGCATTGTATGAGGTCCCCGTCTCCCCCCACACACACACACACACACACACTCTTCCCTTTGTAAGAGGGCATTAGCCAATTTCATATCTTTCAGACGTCTTCGAAGACGTGACAACACATTCAAATGCAAGTCATCAAATCATCATTATTATTATCTCTCGCTCTCGCAGAAAGAGAGAAAGAATCGAGAGAGGGAGAGGGAGAGAGAGAGAGAGATGTGTGCGATAATAACAGCTACCCCTGTGTGTTGTCTTCCGTCAGCGACGCTGGCCGGCAAAGAACAGCTCAGCCTCTCCGCTCCTCTCCTTCCTACCTGTGTGTGTGGGAACAGCTGCTGCTTCTACTGATGTGAAATATTTTCCTCTGTAAACTGACAGACCGCAACTGCACCCTTCTTTGTGACGTCGTCGCAGCTGAAAGAGATCATGTGCGCCGTCGTGCCAGGGCAGGAGCAGAGCCGCACAGACACAACCCTTAAAGGGGACATCAGTCCCAACAGCCGTTGGGAGTCCTGGAGCTCAGGTGGAGTCCTTCGCCAGCGAGAGACCCCGAGCTCAATTCCAGGCAGGTCACAGGGCGACAACCTCGGGCAAGTTTCCTCCCTCCACCCGCCTAATGATAATCCCTCCCAAAAAAATAATAAACTGGTCGTTTTCAATCCACGGCTGTGCCCGTGGGACAGACGCCGCTGTGCGCAATCGGCTGCCGCGTTTCGCCCGCAAAGATGCGGTCAATTTTTCACTTTACCGTATATTCTGTGAAGCGCTTTGGGACGTCGAGAAGACGTGAAAAGCGCTGTATCAAATGCGCGGATTATTATTATTATTATAACCAGCCTCGAGCAGGCAAGCTAATAAATAATTATAATCATCATAATAATAATAATAATGTTTGCATTTGATCTCATGTCGTCGAGACGTCTCAAAGCCCCCCCACGGGATATGCTGTAAAGTATATTACAGTATTATTGTTATTATTATTAAAGTGGGTTGACTGTGTGTCTGGGGTGGTGGGGAGAAGGAGGAAGTTTCGACCCGACTTGCCCGGGAATCGAACCCGATTTCCCCCCTCGCTCGCTGGCGAGCGCGATAACCGTTAGGTGTAGCCTAACAAGAGTTAGGACAAGAGTTGCAGAGGGGCAAGGACTCTGGGACCTGAGGGGCTCAGAGCTCACAGTCCCGGCTGAAACTCCAGCGCTGTGCCCGGGTGTGGGGGGAGCGTCGCATTGATGGAGACGCCGTGCTTCGGACCGCAGCCGTGGCCTTTCGGGCGGGCGTCAACGATCTGTTGGACGAGAGAAGGGAATTCAAGCGCTTTGTATCTGCGCGTTTTCAGCTGCTCGGCAAATCCCCGCGAACAGAGGAGGTGGAGGGAGTGTTGAAGGGGAATTTTTAGATGGTCACTTGTAGAGGAACTGTTTAGGGGAAAGTGACAAACTTTCTGGCGAGAAGGAGGAAGTTTCCTCCATTGGGTGTACGTCTGCGCCACTATAGCCTGTTTCTCTAAATCGCCCGACCAACTCCCACCATCCTGTTTCGCATCCCCCACTCGTTCCGCCCCACCATAAGCGAGCGAGCTTTCAGCCACTCCACCCCCCCGCTCTCTGGAACTCAATCCCAGTGTCTCTCTGCTTCCCCCCCACCCCCTCATTTGAAGCCCAATTTAAAAGAAGGGGGATTCTCTCTCTCTCTCTCTGTCCCTGTGTCCTGGCCCCAAATAAAATCGTTCACTTCACGGCTGTTTGTGGGGCGTTGCTGTGCACAAGCTGGACGCTGTGTTCGCCCACAAATACACAGTCACACCACTTCGCAGTAAAACCCAGGGAAGCGCTTTAAGACGTCTCCACAACTTAGTAACGCGCACTATCAAACGCGAGGATTATTATTATTATTATATTGAGACCTAAAATAACCCTAGCGTTTGATACAGGGCCTGGTCCCGTCGTTGAGACGTCTCAGAGCGCTGTCACAGAATACACCACGAAGTGTAGAGACCGTGTATTTTGCGGGTGACCTATCTTTTCGTCTCGCACCTCAAGGGGTATTAGGAGAGAGGGGAGTCGGAAGGGTGAGGGATCGTGCGGAGTAGAAACACTGGCGACAGCCGGTAATAATCCCCGATACAGCGTCTTATCACGTCGTTGCGATGCCTCGCAGGATGTGAGAGTGGCGCGAGGGTGGAATTGTATGCAGGGTGAATGGCGGCTTCCTGCGCTGTTGCGCGTTGCTCTGTCAGGGAGCCAGGTTCGTTGCTGTTTTTTGCGGGGTGAGTAAATCCTCAGCAGGGCTTCTGCGTGTGAAAATACTTCCCCTTTCGTCCCAAAATCGGCTCCATGGCAGCCAATGCCTACTCATTTGTTTGGTGCGTCTTTTGTGCGTCGGCTTGGCTCTTGCCTCCGAATCGGAAGGTTTGCTGGTTCAGTTCCCTCCCGCTGACGCTCCCCCAACCCCTCTCCCTGCCCCGTTGGGGACGTTGACTTGATGTCGTCGAGGACGGCGCTCCGATGCAGTACTGGGGAAGATCCCGCTGTTCGAAAAGAGAAGAGAGTTTCACTCTCTTTCTCTCTCTCTCTCTCTCTCTGGTGTTCTGGCTGACCATCCACCCCCAACCCCCACACCCCCCCCCACCCCCCAGATAAAACTTGGCACCCACTCCCGCCCCGTTCACGTGATGTTATCGGCCGCTTTGTTCGCCTACACCACACGCAGACAATAAATGCGCTTCAAGTACAATTTGAGATGTCCTCTCGACGTGAAAGGCGCTGTAAGCGAACGCAAAGACTCATGTTCCTCATTTTAAGGTATTCCTCCCCCCCCCCTCTCTCTCTCTCTCTCTCTCTCTCTCCCTTTCCCCTCCCTCTCCCCTCCCCTCTTTTTTTGCTGCGTCTCCGCCAAGCGCATGGTTGAAGCGATGGGCGAGAGGTCCACTCTGAAACGTCAAGCTATGGAGTCCTTAATCCTGCCACAGGGGAGCAGCAGATCACTCTCGAGTTCGAGTCCCGCGTTAGGACTTTGAGCTCACAGTCCAGGCGAACCCTTCAATAATAATAATAATCCTTGCATTTGATATAGCGCTTTTCACGTCGGGAGGACGTCCCAAAGCGCTTCACAGAACACACTGTAAAGTGAATTGACTGTATATTTGTGGGCGAACGCGGCAGCCAATTGCGCACTGCAATGTCCCACAAACAGTCGTAGATTGAAAATGACCAATTTATTATTGTTTTGGTTTTGGAGGGATTATTATTAGGCTCTGTGTGGAGTAAGGAAACTTGCCCAAGGTTTCGCCCTCTGCCTGGAATTGAACTCAGGTCTCTCACTTGCAAAGCGAGTGCTCTAACCACTGAGCTACAGGACTCCATCAATGTGATGATAATAATAATATTAATATTAATAATAATAATAATAATCCTGGCGTTTGATACAGCGCCTTATCACGTCTTCGAGACGCCTCACAGCGCTTCACAGGATACTCCGCAAAGCGAAGGGACCGCGGTACGTTGCGGGCAAAACGCGGCGGCCGATGGCGCACGGCGGCGTTCCCCACAAACAGGCGGGGATTGAAGTGACCGCATCTTTTTTTTATTAAAGAATTGTTTCCCCCCCCCCCCCGCCCACCCCCCCGGAAACGAGGTGCGCCGATCGACTGACAACCGGGTTCCTATTTCGCGTTCCTCCCGACACGAAAGGGCGCGAAAGAAAGGGGATTTTGTTGTTGTTGTTGTTGTTGTTGTGACAATCCCGACTTGCATTTGGTGTAGTGCCGCAGTACGGCGTTGAGACTGTTTGTGAGGATGTCACTGTGCGTAATCCGCACTTCGCCCCCAAAAAATACACTGTCAATTCGCATTACACTGTATCCTCTGAAGCGCTTTGAGACCTCTCAACACCGTGACACGGTGCTGCATCCACTGCAAAGATTATTATTATTGTTGTTGTTATCATTGTTATTGTTGTTATTATTGTTGTTATTATTGTTGTTGTTATGTTTTTGTTGTTGTTGTTGTTATTATCGTTGTTATTGTTGTTATTATAATTGTTATTATTATTGTTATTATTGTTATTATTGTTATTATTGTTATTATTATCATTATTGTTATTATTATTGTTACTATTATTATTATTATCATTATTGTTATTATTATTGTTATTATTATTATTATTATTATTGTTATTATTATTGTTATTATTATTATTATTATCATTATTGTTATTATTATTGTTATTACTATTATTATTATCATTATTGGTATTATTATTGTTATTACTATTATTATTATTATTGGTGTTATTATTATTAGTTATCATTATTGTTATTGCGATATACCTTTAAAGGCTGTGAACCTGTCGCAAACTGTGGTAAAACGTCCCCCTTCTGCCGTAAAGTGGCGGTTTTGCCCTCCCGCCGTAAAGTGAGCGCATAGGAGAGGCGGGAACGCGTGAGAGGGAGTGGGGGGAAGGTTTGGAGAGGAGACGCGACCCCAGACCCCCACCCCCTGACCCCCACCCCCTGATACACCCCACCCCCACCCACACCCCCCACCCCCTGAACCCCATCCACACCCCCCCCCCTGATACACACCCCCACCCCTGACCTACACCCGCCCCCCCAGGCAGCCTGAGGGGCCACTCTCCCCCCCCCCCCCCCCCCCTCAGCACTGACTGGTAATGTGTGGGTCACTGTGTGGGTCTGTGTGTGTGTGTGTGGGGGTCACTGTGTGGGGTCACTGTGTGGGGTCACTGTGTGGGGTGACTGTGTGGGGTCACTGTGTGGGGTCACTGTGTGGGGTGACTGTGTGGGGTCACTGTGTGGGTCTGTGTGTGTGTGTGTGGGGGTCACTGTGTGGGTCACTGTGTGTGTGTGTGGGGGGTGTCTCTGGGGGTGGTGTGTGTGTGTATATATATAGTCTGTGTGACTGACTATGTGTCTCTGTGTGGGGGGGGGGCGGTATGTGTGGGGGGTCTCTGCGTGGGGGGTCTGTGTGTGTATGGTGGTGGGGGGGGGATCTCTGTGTGTGTGTCTCTGTGTATGTGTGGGGGTGGTGTGTGAGTGTGTGGGGGGTGGGGTGGGGCAAGTGTGTGCGTGTATGGTGGGGGTGGGGGGTGGTGTGTGTGTGTGTATGTGGGGGTGGTGTGATGTATGGTGTGTGTGGGGGTGGGGTGGTGTGTGTGGGGGTGTGTGTGGGGTGGGGGTGTGTGAGTGTATGGTGGGGTGGGGGTGGTGTGTGAGTGTATGGGTGTGTGGCTGGGTGGGGGGTGGTGTGTGTGGGGGGTGGTGTGTGGGGGTGGGGGGTGTGTGAGTGTATGGTGGGGTTGGGGGGTGGTGTGTGTGTGTATGTGGGGGGTGGTGTGTGAGTGTATGGTGTGTGTGGGGGTGGGGGGTGGTGTGTGTGGGGGGTGGTGTGTGGGGGTGGGGGGGTGTGTGAGTGTATGGTGTGTGTGTGCGGGATCTGTGTGTGTGTCTCTATGTGCAAATACAGGGATTATTATCATTAATTGTCCTTATTCTGTTCACTGTTTATTTATTATTACACTTTCTCCTTTGGCCCCTTTAGGGCACTCGTTAACTGACGAGTTAACTGACCTCTTCCAAGGTCACTCTCTCGTTCTCTCCCCCCCCCCCCCTGTCTTTCTCTCCCCCCCCCCCCCTCTCTCTCTGCTCGGCCTGTGACCGCCATGTTTGTGCTGGTGGAGATGGTGGACACGGTGCGGATCCCCCCCTGGCTGTTCGAACGCCGGCTGAACGATGCCATCGCAGAGGAACTGAACAAGAAGCTGGCAAACAAGGTAACGCGCGGCTCACAGCGAGCGCCTCAGACCACGCGCTGTTCGAACGCCGGCAGTGAGCTTTGTTACGGATCTCTCTCTTCCCACCCCCTCCCTCTCCCTCTCCCTCCTCTCTCTCTCTTTCTCCCTCTCCTCAACAACAACAACAACAACAAGATTCCATTTATAAAGCGCCTTTCACGTCGGGAGGACGTCCCGAGGCGCTGCACAGTTGGGTCAGGACCCGAGCATTGGGGGGAAATGGTCAGGGTGAGGGGAGGGAAGGGAGGGTGAGGAGGGGGAAGAGAGTCGAGAGGGGAGCTGAAGGCACGGTCAAAGAGAAAACCTCTCCACCTCTCGATCCTCCCTCTCTCTCTCTCTCCATTTCAATTTCTCTCACACTCTCCTTTTCTCCCTCTCCTCCCCCTTGTGTGGTGTGTGTGTGTGTGTGTGTCTCTATCGCTCTCTCTCCTCCCCCTTCTACCTCTAATCTTTCTCACTCCCATCTTCTCGTCTGTCTGTCTGTCCGTCCGTCTGTCACCCTCTTCCTCTTGCTGCACAGCAAGAGAACCCTAAGAGTCCTATAGCTCAATGGTTAGAGCACCAGCTTCGCGAGCAAGGGACCTGGGTTCAATTCCCGGCAGGGCGAAACCTTGGGCAAGTTTCCTTACTGCACACGCCTGATAATAATCCCTCAAGAAAAAAAAACACGAGTAAATTGATCACTTCAATCCACGACTGTCTGTGGGACGCCGCTGTGCGCAATCGTTTGCCGCGGTTCGCCCACAGATATCCGGTCAATTCGCTTCGCGGTATATTCTGTGAAGCGCTTTGAGACGTCTCGAAGACGCGAAACGTTCTATATCAAGATGCCAGGATTATTATTTTATTGTTATTATTAATCTCAGTTTGGTTCGATGATGGGTTTCAGCCCGTATCAAAACCCCGGGTGATCCAAATAAATCTGTGTCTCTCCCTCCCTCCCCTCTGCAGGTGGTGTACAAGGTCGGCCTGTGTATCTGTCTGTACGACATTACCAAGCTGGAAGACTCGTACATTTTCCCTGGTGACGGGGCATCTCACTCCAAAGGTCAGATTGCTCGGATCCAGATCCTTCTACCCAGCCTCTGACTCTGCCTTACACGCGCGGTTTTTACACTCCAAGCCTTCAGCCGCTCTGCCCCCACCCTCAGGAACTCCATCCCGCAGTCCCTCCGCCTCGCCCCCCTCCCTTGCCTCCTTCAAGACCCGTCTCACGACCCTACTCTTCGACCGGACCTTTGATCACCCTCCTTCTCCCCCTCAAACCCCTTGCCCTCCACCCTCCCCAATCCTGACCCCCAGCTTGGGTCCGAAACACTGACTGTCCAGCACCTTGGGTCATGCTCCCGACGTGAAAGACGCCACACACATGCAGTGTTGTAAGTCTCTAAATCAGGACTTAGAATCACACAGTCTCAGCTGACTCTCCCAATGCAGCGCTGGGGGGTGTGCTGTGCTGTTTGAGACGCCGTCCTTCAGATGAGACGCTAAAGCTCACTCCACGGCTGCCTGTTCAGGTGGATGTTAAAGATCCTGCGGCGCTATCCTGGACAACAACCCCCCGAACAACATTGGTCGTTAAATTCATGGCTGTTTGTGGGACGTTGCTGTGCGCGTGTTGATTGCTACGTTTCTCCCAAATGGTTAACTTACCCCCAGTTAAAATGGCCTCGCGGGCTAAGTGTTAGTGGAATTTGGGCTCAGATATGTTTGGCCACTTTTAATTCCCCTTTTAATTGTCTGCTTTATTTTGTCCACAGTTCATTTCCGATATGTGGTCTTCAGACCTTTTCTGGATGAGATTATTATCGGGAAAATTAAAGGCTGCAGCCAGGAGGGGGTGTACGGTCAGTGTCAACTTAGCTGTGGGAGCTGTAATAGAAAGTTACTAACGCAGAACGGGAGATTTCCTCTGAGTCAGCGCCTGAGATAGTTAGTAAACAAATCTATTCTCATTGGACATTCCAGCGCTTGTTAATCGTGTAGACAGACACCCAACACCAGTGGGGTTTGCATCTTCAGTATTTATAGCTGCCGCTATTTATAGCAGTCGGCAGCGCTCTCGGCTCCTGAGTCAGAAGGCTGTGGGTTCAAGCCCCAACATCGGATCTTGGGGCCACACAGTTTAAGATGCAGCACTGTGTGGGGGGTGTTGCACTGTCGGAGGTGCCTTCCTTCCGATTAAACTGAGGTCCGATTAAACTGTCTGCCTCCTCTCTCTCTGTGACTCTACTGCTCTCTCTCTCTGAATCTCTCTATCTCTCATCAACCCCCCACTCTCTATTTTCATATCCTATTCTTCGATCATGCCGGTGGTCTCTCCCACACACAAACACACACACACAAACCCCCCCACCCCCTTCCCCCCTCCCCTGGTCCTGCTCAGTGTCTGCCACCATCTCTGTGCAGCGCCCCGAGACATTATCCAAAGTGAAGGCGCCAGCTACACGTTGTATAAATGTTGCCCCCATGCCTGACGGCTCTCACAGTGGCACAGAGAAGGGCAGAGGTGAAGGAGCAGTGTGGGATTCCCCCCTTGCCTCCTTTTTGACCTCCTCTTTGACAGCGCCAATCCCTGACTGTCCAGTGTCTCGGGTTGTCCTCCCGACGTAAAAGGTGCTTTGTAAATGTCATTTGTTGTTGTTATTGTTTAATCCCTCTCTCCACCTCTTTCTCTCCCTCACAGTGACTCTGGGATTTTTCGATGACATCCTGATCCCTCCGGAGTCCTTACAGCAACCGGCAAAGTTGTATCCTTCAGTCACAACAACAACAACAACAGCTGGCGTTTATTTAGTGCCCTTGACGCGGGTGTTTCAGTAACTGGTGACTGACTTTTCACCTGTGGGTGTGATTGAGTGCATGTGTGTGTGTGTGCACGCGCACATTGTGTGTATGATTGTGTATGTGTTGTGTTTTGTGCGTGTGGTGTGTTTTGTGCGTGTGGTGTGTATGTGTGTGTGCACACGGGGCGTGTGCGAGGGAGAAGCTTTCCCTTGTGACGTCTTCCTTGACGGTATCGTCAGTGACGAGACGGAGCAGGTGTGGATGTGGGAGTACGAGACGGAGGAGGGAACCCACGACCTGTACATGGATGTGGGCGAGGACGTGCGTTTCCGGATGGTGGACGAGATCTTCATCGACACGTCCCCTACAGGCCCCAGCGCAGCCGACACCCCCTCCCCAGCCCCGGCCCCTGTCCCCGCCCCAGAGGAGACCCTGAAAAAAGAGTCTCCCTACACGCTGACGGTAAGCCCGCGCTGGTGAAGGTGCGGGGGGGGTGTTGGGGCGAGAGTGTGTGTGAGCTGCAGGGTTTAGGGGCGGGGGAGAGAGAACAGGAGTGTGGGGGTGTGGGAGAGAGTACGATTGATTTAATTTTGTTGACCGGCCAAAAAGATGGCGCCAGTTGGAAAGTCTAATGAGTTGTAACGTGTGCGGGTTTCACCCCCTCTCTCTCTCTCTCTCTCTCTCTTCCCCCCCCTATTCTCGTGCAGGGATCCATCAGTGAGCCAGGACTGGGGCTGTTGTCCTGGTGGACAAACGGTTAACGGGGAAAGCCGGCCGAGCAGGCTGTGACTGAAACGTGGAGTGCGGAGCTGGGAGGGGAATCTCCTGTTCCTTTTTTTTGGGGGGGGGGGACTCGGATCATTTTCTTCCCCAACAAAAAAACCCATCTTCCCGTTATCCGGGATCCCCCCCCTCTCCCCCGTATCCCGTCCGTCGTCCCCTCGGGAACAGGGGATGGGCGGAGAGTGCGGCTCAGCAACAACCGTCGGCGGAGGTTTCGTTGCGTGTGTGTTTGTTGCCGCAGGAAGGTGTGACAGGAGAGGTGGAACGTGGCAATAAAGATAACTGCATTCACTTGGGACCCGTTGTGAACCAATTGCCTTGTGTCGGAGTGACAGTGTTTTTGTGTGTGTGTGTGTGTGTGTCGGGGGGGTGGGTATGTGTGTGGTGTGTGTGTCACGTCTGTGTGTGCTGCGGTATTTTTAACGTCCGCCTGAACAGGCGTAGTAGGGACCTGTGTTTAACATCCCACGCGAAGGACGGCACCTCGGAACGATGTGTTTTGCCCACAAAATATACAGTCAATTCACTCTCATTCGACAGTATATAGTGTGAAGCGCTTTGAGACGTCTCAAAGGCACTCTTAAGGCGCTATATCAAACACAAGGATTATTATGTTTATTATATAGACCCCCGTCACGTGGGGTATCTGAAGGTGTAGGGAGTGTCTGAGCGCTGATAGAAGGAGTTGGTTGGCTCTTGATGTTGGTCTCAGTCACTCACAGTGATGGCTGCTTCCCCCAAGCCTCTAGATGGCCCTGCGTGGCTGTCCGAGACTATCAGCTGTCTGGCTGTCTGGAGTCTCTACTGATTTCTCGTCTCCTCAGTCAGGTGGGAGCTTAGCGAAGAGAGAGCACACACAGAGAGAGAGAAGGAGAGAGGCATTGAGTGCGGGTATGTGACGGCTATCGCTTTGGGAGTGGTCGAGGAGGCGCAGGAGCTTACAGCGGCTCACGGAGGAAGGAACAATTTAAAAAGCCCGGGTGAGCACAACCACAAGAGAGTCGTTTCTTGCACTGAGCCCCAGCTGTGCCGCTCGTCTCAATCCAGGGTCAGGTAAAGTGAAGCACAGCCTCTTAACTGTGTGCGTGTGTGTGTGTGTGTCTCTCGAAACATATCGCCTCATAACCGCACTCTCTCCGTTTCACGGTAATTCCCACGAGTAATACGCGGTAAAAGCGCTTTTCGGGACGTCCTCCTGACGTGATGAGGCGCCGTAACGAATTGATGAGGGTCGTAGTCATTATATTGCCGGTGGGGGTGGGGATGTGGGGGAGAGTGCACTTTATGTGATCCTTTTTCATTCAGAGATTTGCTTGAAACTTCTTCACGTCAGATGCTCGGTTGAGTGCAAACTGTACGAGTGCGAATTTTGTCAGATAGTTTGACAACGTCCCCCTCCCCGCGCACACCCACACACACACACGTGCGCGCCCCCCCCCCCCCACCACCACCACACACAAAAAAAACATTGATAACGCATTTAACTCCCGTGAAGTGCTTCGTGACGTCCTCCCCCTTGTGTCGAATGCAAGGATTATTATTAACAACAAATCACACTTCCACAGCACCCTTCGGGTCGGAGAGATGTCCCAAGGTCCTGAACAGTCTTTAGACAGAGTTCTACAAGATTCTTCTCGCTCTTTCTCAGACTGAGACGAGCGATGTTATATTGGGGAGATTATAAGACACGCCTCGCGGGAGCTCGGACTTTCATTTCACGTTTCTATAATTAGACCTTGTGGCTTCACAAACAGGAACAGATGCGGAGCAGAGCCCGACTGCGCGCTCTTGTTCGTTCCCCTGTTGTGACTCCAGTGCATCGGGGCATAATCCTAGTAATAATTACGCATTTGACGCAGCGCCTGATCGAGACGTCTCGAACGTAAGCGCTTCGCAGAACGCACTGTAAGGAGTAGTGACTTGAGTGTCTTGCGGGCGAAACAGTGCGGTGTCCCACAAACAGCCCTCGAGCGAGCGAGTGAGTGAGTGAACTATTTTGGACAGACCACCGGCCGAGAGAGAGAGAAACGCCCTTCTCTTTTCGATCAGCCCCGCGAGAGATCGTAAATATCCACCCTAACGGGGCAGACGGGGGGGGGGGGTGAGGTTTAACGTCACCTCCGACAATGCAACCCCCCCCCCCTCCCCAGCGTTGCATTGGAGCCTCAGCTGAGACGTGGGGCTGTATCAAATGCGACGACTATTATTATTGTTCCTGTTACCATCCTCTCTCTCTCTCTCTCTCTCCTTTGCCCCTCTCCTTCCTCGTTGTGATCGTTCGCTCGGCGGACACGTCGACACGTGAACAGGAGAGGGTGGTCAAGCCTCCCCACCCCCACCCCGCTCGCGCCCGGTCGGCATGGCGAAGGCAGCCACAGCCCCCACGGGCGGCGGGACCATGTTCTGCAGCCTGGACGCCCCGGTGAACGCCATCAGGTCAGAGCGCTCGCCTCGCAAGGGGGTTCGTTTCCCGGAGGGGGGGGGGAAGGTCGGGGCGAAACCTTAGGGAAGTTTCCTTACTCCCCACACACACACGCACACGCGTGCACGCACACGTGGTTGATTAGTCGCTTGGCGGATTGCTTTTCCGGGGGCGGTAATAATCCCTTCCACACCCCGCGACTGTTTTGCGGGGAATCCCTCCCGACGGCGGGAGTGGGAGTGGGTGGGGGGGGGGGGGGGAGAAGGCGCTATTATCAAACCCGAGGACCGCCGCGGCTTATTCCGATTCTCATCAGCATGTGCCGGGATGGAGACCAGGTGGCCGTGGCCGGGAGGAACATCTTCAAGATTTACGGCATCGAGGAGAACGGCTTGACCGAGCGCTGCAACCTCCGCTGCGGCCGCAAGCCCTCGCTCAGCCTGAGCTGCTCCGACGTGGCCTGGCACCCGCTGGACGAGGCTCTGCTCGCCACGGCGGCCACCAACGGGGCCGTGGTGACCTGGAACCTGGGCAAGGCGTCTCGCAACAAGCAGGAGCAGCTGTACATGGAGCACAAGAGGACGGTCAACAGGGTGGCCTTCCACCCGGCCGAGATCGCCCTGCTCCTCAGCGGCTCCCAGGACGGCTTCATGAAGTGCTTCGACCTCAGGAGGAAGGAGTCCGTCTGCACCTTCTCAGGTCGCCGCGCAGAGACGCAACCCTCCCCCCCCCCTCCCACCCACACCACCCCGCGCGTGCGCATGCACAGACGTGTGCATGCCTGCGCTCCTGTGTGTGTGTGTGTGTTTGTGTGTGGTGTGTGCGTGTGACTGGGCGCCTGTGTGTGGGGTGTGTGTGTGTGTGGGGTGCGTGTGTGACTGTGTGCCTGTGTGTGTGGGGGGTGTGTGTGACTGCGCCCCTCCCACCCTGCGCATGCGCATGCACAGAGGCGCGCAGTCACACACACACACACAAGCAGAGGCACACACACACACACACAGAGGCACGCAGTCACGTTGTCGTCGTCGTCGGGGTGTTGCGGTGGGTGACGTGCCCCCCCCCTCCTCCTTTTGCCCCCCCCCTCCCGTGCCCAGGCCAGTCGGAGAGCGTGCGAGACGTGCACTTCAGCGTGAGGGACTGGTTCACCTTTGCCGCCACCTTCGAGAACGGCAACGTGCAGCTGTGGGACATGCGGAGGCCCGACCGGTACGAGCTGATGTTCACGGCCCACAACGGGCCCGTCTTCTCCTGCGACTGGCACCCGGACGACAGGTAGGGGAGAGGGGGGGGGGGCGCGGGCTGGGCACACACGCGTGTACGTACACGCGCACGCACGCGCGCGCATCAACACACACACGTCAACGCACACACGTAACAACTCAGCACGTTTGCACGTCAACACATGCGCGCGCACGCCAGCACACGCTACGTCCACACGTCTCTGCACTCACACATACATGTTCGCACATCACGTGTGTGTGTCTTTCCCCCCCTTCTCTCTCTCTGTGTGCGTGTGGACAACCTGACCCACTGATCTCTCCATGGCTCCCTGTGTGTGTGTCTCTCTCTCTCTCTCTGTCTGTCCAGCCTGACCCCCCCCTCTGTCCAGTCTGACCCCCCCCCTCCCTGTCCAGCGTGACCCCCTCCCCCCGTCCAGCCTGACCCCCTCCTCCCGACACTCTCTCTCTCTCTCTCTCCCTCCCAGGAACGTGCTCGCAACCGGCGGCCGCGACAAGACGGTGAAGGTGTGGGACGTCTCCGGTGGCGGCGGCGGCGGTGTGGGAGTCGGAGGGGGCGTTGCGGGAGGAGTGGGGTCTCCGCCGCCCTGGACCCCGACGCCGCCCCGGGAGCTGCACTGCGTGCAGACCATCGCCCCGGTGGGGCGGGTGGCGTGGCGGCCGGAGCGGCGGCACCAGTTGGCGACCTGCGCCGTGATGCTGGACCACAGCGTGTCGGTGTGGGACGTGCGGCGGCCGTGCGTGCCCTTGGCCCTGTTCGCCGGGCACCGGGACGTGGCCACCGGCCTGGCCTGGCGCCGGGCCCGGGACCCGCACCGCCTGCTGTCGGGCTCCCGGGACGGCAGTCTGTACCAGCACAGCTTCCGGGACGCCCGGCGGCCGGACCTGGGCGGGCGGCCCGGTGGCCTGAGCTTTGGCCCGGCTGGGGAGCTGGCCTTCGCCCTTAGGGAGGAGACCGGGACCGGGGATCACCGGGGAGGCGGCGGAGGGGGTCGGACGCACCCGTTCTTCTTCGCCCGGCGGCCCGACCCCGCCGAGCCCACGGCGGCTGCTTCCAGCCGCCTCGGCGTCTTCGAGCCGCGGCCCGGTGACCCCCCCGGTGCCGCCGCCGGTGACCGTCGCTCGGCCCCGACCCGGACCGGGACCCAGACCACCGCCCGCTACCGGCTGACCGGCCGCCCGCTGCCCGAGCTGTGCGAGCACAACGCCGCCGTGGCCCGGGCCCTGAGGCGCCCGCGGGCCGCGCACGTCTGGCGGGCGCTCAACATCCTCTACGGCACCGCCGCCGACAGCAACAGCACCGGCACCGGAGGGGGAGCGGCGGGAGGGGGCCATCATCATTCCCTCAGCAGGTAACCCGCTTCCTCGTCAGCTCCTCTGGGAGGGGGGGGGGTGTGTGTGTGGGTGGGGCGGTGTGGGGGCTGTGTATGTGGGGGTATGTGTGTGTATGTGTGGGGGGTGGGTATATGGGTGTGTGTGTGTGTGGGGGTGTGTATGTGTGGGTGGGGGGTGTATGTGGGGTGTGTGTGTGTGGGGGGGGGGGTGCGCGGCTGATGGTAGCCCGGCCCTGGCTCGTCGGCAGGACCTGGAAGTTCCGGCCGGTCGGGCGCTGGTGGGTCAGTCGTTCGGTCTGCGAGTCGGGGGTCAGCGGGTCGATGGGGGTCTGAAGCCGCAGTTGACTGATGGACACTCTCTCTCTCCTTCCCACCCCCTCTCTCCCCCCCGCGCCCCCCTCTCGCTGTCCGCAGCCCCACTCTGGTTAGCGAGAAGAAGCTGGACTGCGGCCGCCTGGAGTCCCGGGATGACAGCCTGACCCCCCTGGCCCCCGCCTCAGCCCTGCTGCAGCACAACGAGGGTAACAGTGAGCGGAGAGGAAGCAAACCCCCTCCCCCCCCATCCCCACCGCCAGCTCTCCCCCCCTTCATACCCCCTTTCATACTCCCCCCTCTCCCCTCTCATACACCCCCCTCTCTCTCCTCATACTCCCCCCCTCTCTCTCTCCTCAAACTCCCCCCTCTCTCTCCCCTCTCTCTTTCTCCTCATACTCCCCACGCTCTCTCACCCCCACTCCCTACTCTTCCCTTTCTCACTCCCCCCGTCCCTCGTTCCTCCACACGCCCCACCCCCACCCCACAAGGTCTATTCCCCCTCCCCGCCCCCGCTCTCTCTCCCGTTTGGAGTCGGATTAAACCCCCCCCGTCCTTGCAGAAAACGAGGGGACGGAGGGGAGCGACGGGGCGGCCGAGGGGCTGTTCGCCGACGGGGAGGGCGAGGAAGACGACCTGTTCTTCTTCGCCGACGACCACGACAGCGCCCGGGGTGAGCGATGGCCGGAGACCGGGCGCGGGAAGGTTTCCGAGTGCGCGGTCTCAAGCTGACTCTCCAGCTCAGCGCTGGCTGGTGTGCGTGCGTGCGTGTGTGTGCGCGCGCGCGTGTGCGTGTGTATGTGTGCGTGTGCGTGCGGCATTCCTTCAGGATGAGGCGTCAAACCTCGCTCCCATCCCAGCCGGATGGACGTTAAAAAAAATCCCCGGGGGGTGCTGTTGGAAAAGAGAGGAGAGTCTCTCTCTATCTCTCTCTCTCTCTCCCCCCCCCCCCACCCCCCCGGCGTCCTGGCCGACAACTGTTTGCGGGGGGAACGGACGCTGCTGTGCACAAATTGGCTGCCGAGTTTCGCCCACAAGTCACTACACTTGACAGCATATCGCGGGAAGCGCTTCGAGGCGTCTCAGCGGCGATGATCAGTCCAAGTGCTCTTGTCGAATGCAAGGATTTCTTGTTGTTGTTGTTGTTGTTAATGAATCCTGCTTAAAATGTTGGCTATCGTTCTGCCGCGCAGGGGAGGAGCTGGTCCTGCCTCAGGAGGGCTTCACGCTGCGTCACGAGCTCGTGGACCACCCCGACACCCCGGACCCCCTCGCGGAGGAGACGGACTCCCCCCAGCCCAGCGGCGGCGAGACCGACTGTGTGTCGCTCAGCCCCACGGAGGGCATCTCGCTGCTCTCCCTCCCCCAGCCTCTCCCCCAGCCCGGCTTCGCCCCCGACTACTTCAACCCCATCGTCAGGGACATGATGTGCCTGTACGCCGAGCGGGGGGACGTGCAGATGGCCGTCTCTGTCCTCGTCGTCCTCGGCGACAGGATCAGGAAGGAAATCGACGAGCAAACACAGGTATGTCGCTCACACGCGCTGCTCAAAAATTAAAATAAAATTTCCTTATTCCACACGCACACGCACGCACACACACGCGCGCCTCTGTTTACCGCGCAGTAAGTAGGAAGAAACACGGCTGTGAGTCGATTGGCGGATGGCTTTTACGGGGTTGGGTGGGGGGTAATAATCCCCTCCAATAATCCCTCACAACTGCTTGTGAGGCGCTGCCGTGCACAAAACTCTGTAAGCGCTCTCGTCTTAAATGCTTTCCAGAAGTAAATACCATCCCTTTTTCCCCCCCTCTCTCTTCACTCCCTCTCTCCCTTTCCCTCTCACTCCCTTTTCTCCCTCCCTCCTCCTACGTTCCTCTCTCTGCCCCCCCCTCTCTCTCTCTCTCTCTCTCCCCTTCTCTCTCTCTCCCGGGGTCAGGAGCACTGGTACATGTCGTACATCGATCTGCTGCAGCGTTTCCGCCTGTGGAACGTGGCTAATGAGGTGATCAAGCTGAGCCCGTGCAGGTCAGTCAGTGGCCTGAACCAGGCATCCACCACCCTCCACATCAACTGCAGCAACTGCCGGCGGCCCATGAACAGACGGGGCTGGGTGTGCGAGAGGTGAGCGCGGCAAACGGAGGGTCTCCGTGGAAATCTGGCGACCGATGTTAGCTGAACGTATCACCACAATAATAATAATCCCCACATTTGATATAGCGCCCGATCACAAGGACAGACGGCACTGACACGGCGCCTCTCGCGTCGAGGGGACGTTCCCGAGACGCTGGACAGTCAGAGATGGGAGTTGGGATCAGGAAGGGTGGGGGAGCGGGAGGGTGGGGGCAGAAGCGGGTCGAAGAGGAGGGTCTCGAGTAATCGAGTCACGTCCTTTGAGATGTCCTAAAGCGCTTCACGGAATATACCCTGAAGTGAATTGACTGCAAAGTGTGTCTTATGGGCGGAACGGGGCAGCCAACGGCACACAGTCCGAGGATTGTTGAGTGACCAAATTTATTTCTGTACTTTTTTTGGAGCGATTATTAACCCCTGAAATAGCGATCCGCCAATCGACTAACAACCGGGTTCCTACTGGGTAAACAGAGGTGCGCGCGCGGGCGTGTGTGTGTGCGTGGAGTGAGGAAACTTGCCTCAGGTTTCGCCCCGACTCTCCCAGGGGATCGAACCCAGATCCTCTCGCTTGTGAGGCGAACGCACTGACCACCATGTTACAGGACTCCAAATAATATAATAGTATAATAATAATCCTTGGGCTGTTACAGCATCTTTCACCTGGTCTCAAAGTGTATGGTGGTATTTTACTGTGAGACGTAGTGACTGTGTGTTTTGCTCTAAGCGCTTTCCCTTCCTCTCTTCCAGGTGTCGGCACCGAGCCAGCTCCTGTGCCATCTGTCACCACGCAGTGAAGGGCCTGTTTGTGTGGTGCCAGGCTTGTGCCCACGGAGGGCACCTCCAGCACATCAGAGAGTGGTTCCAGCTTCACGCACACTGCCCCGCGGGGTGCGGGCATCTCTGCGAGTACACGTAGTGGGTGGTGATGGGTGAGGGGGGAGAGAGAGAGAGTCCATGGGTCTGGCCATAGCTGAGCCAGTGTGTGACATTGCCATCATTCGCTCACTGGACAAGTGGTGGTGTGGTGGTTGGGGGGGAAAAGCGAGCTTGGCTTTTGGGGCTTAAGAGAGGGAGAGGAGAGACAGAAGGGGGGGGGAGAGAGAGAGGGGAGGTATAGAAGGGGGAGTGGGGAGAGCGCTGCATGGTCAGAGGTGTCATCTTTTTTGGATGAGTCATTAACCCGAGACCGTGGAAGCATTTTCCGCTGCGCGAACCTAAGTGGTTGTTGGCAAATTAAGCCTTCAGCGCTGGAGCATTGCCTCAGTGGCCCAGACGGGGGTGGAGGCCAGCGAGTCGATCAATTTTTACGACTGTAAATATTTAATAATAATAATAATAATAATATAATTTGAACGAATGCTACACATTTAATTATTTGTGGAAGTCCTAGACTACGAACCGCTCCCTTGGTGGGTGTTGGGAATTACGGCGGTTTGAGCAGCTGGGATGGGAGTCGGTCTCTCTTCAGGCACCTTTTTGGGGTCAGGGGGGGGAATGGGGAAAAGATGCACTTTCAGTCATTTTTCTCTTCCCTATTCCCTCCCTCCTCCAACCACTAGTGTTAAGCACTTGTGATGTCTTCCCCCCCCCCTCCCCTCCCCATGGGAATGTTTATTTTGTATTGACTGCACAACACTCCCCCACTCTCTCTCACAACTCATTCCCGCCCGGGTTCCCTTACTCCACAAGTCTGTTTATCCAGCGATAGGTAGGAACCCGGTTGTTAGTTGACTGGCAGATCGCTTGTCTGGGGTTAACCATCCCTCCAAAAAAAGAACTGGGTCACCACGGTTTGTGGGACACTGCTGTGCGCAATCGGCTGCTGCGTTTTGTCCACAAAATAGTTAATTCGCTTTAGTGTGTCCTGTGAAGCCCTCTGAGACGTCTCGAAGACGTGATTAAGGCGCCGCGTCAAATGCGAGGATCATTATTATGATCATTCTCAAGGCTTTCCTCTTTGACTGTGCTTTCAGCCACCCCACCTTCCCAGTTCACCGCCGGCCGCCTGTGTAAAGCACTTTTGAGATGTGCTCCCGGCGTGAAAGGTGCTTTTATAAATATGATCCTAAGACGAGTGGAACGCTCAGTTTGTCTTGGGAGACACTTTAGCACAGTGACGGGTTTCCGCAAGTGTCAAGACACCCGGCTGACCCCCAGAAAGATTCTTAAGACGACCAAGTCTGTTACGAATTCAACAAGCACAGCTTTGGATTGTTACGTTCATCAGGTCAGTTTTTAATTCCCAAAAAACACACGTTCATTTGGTCATTCATCCCTCGAGCGACAATGAAATTGACCAAATTTCGCACGTTTTTTTTTGTTCCCGAGAGGGAGGGAAATAAGAGACACCAAAAATATTCAGCATTTTTTTTAACAATAAATAGCTTGTAATATCCACACTACAAGAAGTCAGAACGCCATTAAAATGCCATTAATTACCGAGGAGGTTAAGACCAGGGAGTCCAACCTTTTGGCTGCCGAGGACCAGGTGCCCTATTTGAGGAACGTCCATGGACACACAAGCAATGCTTTTTTGTATTTCCCTTCCAGAGACGTGACATAACATTTACGGGTTACGGAGGGAGCTTTCAAGATTGATGTTGATAAGATCCGGTAGGTCAGGGTATTGAGGGGTACGGGGAGAAAGCAGGAAATTGGAATTTGAAGGATTAGTTGAGGTACGGATCAGCCATGATCTAATGAAATGGTGGAAGAGGCATCAAAGGGCTGAATGGCCTGCTCCTGTTCCTATGAAGGTGGGGGGGGGGGGTGGGGGAAAGAGGGCAGGCCACCAGTTGTATCACCCTGAGCTAAGAAATAATAAGAGCGAACAAAATTCCTTTGTTTTCATTTGTAAAAAAAAAAAAAAAATCGCTTAACCAGGCCGACGATGGGGAAAAAATAAATGATCTGCGATTGTCCCAAGAGATGGCCTGAGACGAAACACAGCACTGAACACGATTGCTTACAGACGAGGTGGTCATGGTGAGGGGGGACTGACCCAGAGGCAAGATCAAGGCTGTGCGCTGAGTTATTAATACAATCAGTCCTTGAGCACTATTCCATTCCCCCTCGTGGGGAGCGAGCGAGAGGATGGGCGGCTTCACTGGAGGTCTTTCATCCTATTGAGCGCACTGCCCGCCTGGAACCAATCGATCTGGCCCTCGTTGAAGCTGTGGTTCAGGAGGAAACTGTCCTCCGAGCCGTTCTTGTGCTTGAGGGTACATTTGAGGGGCTGCGGGAGGAGAGGAGAAACAAAAGCAATTCTTAAAAAAATGTATAAAACAACACCGGGAGTGGTGGGGATGGGAAGGGCACCGATTTATGAACACAAAACCTGGTTTTGTTTAACTAAAGTGTTTCGTTTTGAAGCTCTCCCTCCGCCTGGCGCTCTTTTGAAGGTCACCATTGGAGACCTTCCTCTTCAACTCTTCTTACGGTCACCCCCTTATTATGACTGGAAAGATGTCAGCCCGGCTCAGCTGTGGGTTCAAGCCTCCGTGTCCGGGGCTTTGAGCTCACGGTCTAGGCTGACGCTGGGCTGTGCAGCGCAGGTTCCAGGGAGCATTTCATCGTCGGGAGTCGCTTTTGCTGAGACGTTTAAGCCGAGCTCCCGCGTCTGACTGTGTCTGTCCGTTTAATATCCTGGGCTGGAACTGCAGTGAAAGGGCGCGATGCGATGACGTTTAGCGATGTAATGTCACTCACCTTCCCCGGGCCAAAGTCCTTGAGGCCCAGGATGGACACCCTGTCGTCTGGCTGCACCTTGTCGTAGTCGGCCGGGTTGGCGAAGGTCAGGGGCAGGAGGCCCTGCTTCTTCAGGTTGGTTTCTGCCAACAAAGCCCCCAAAATTACCTTCCCTCTGTCCCCAGTTCATCGGCACAGCGCAGATACAGATAATAATAATAATAATAATCCTTGCATTTGATATAGCGCTTTTCACGTCGGGAGGACGTCCCAAAGCGCTTCACAGAACACACTGTAAAGTGAATTGACTGTATATTTGTGGGCGAACGCGGCAGCCAATTGCGCACAGCAATGTCCCACAACAGTCGTAGATTGAAAATGACCAATTTATTATTGTTTTGGGTTTTGGAGGGATTATTATTAGGCTCTGTGTGGGGTAAGGAAACTTGCCCAAGGTTTCGCCCTCTGCCTGGAATTGAACTCAGGTCTCTCACTTGCAAAGCGAGTGCTCTAACCACTGAGCTACAGGACTCCACTGATTGTTCCTTAACAGGCCCAGTCTCCGGGCGAGATCTCTCACACGCGCACGCGCCCCCCACAAGCGCACTTCGGCCAGTCACGCCTACCGTGAATGCGGGCAAAGCTCTTGACGATGATGGCTCGGCCGCCCAGGTGACGCGGTTCCAGGGCAGCGTGCTCCCGGCTGGAGCCCTCGCCGTAGTTCTCGTCGCCAAACACCACCCAGCTGATGCCTTCTTTCTACACGTACAGAGCAACAATTTAGCGTCCTCGTTCATCATGGCCTCCCCGCGCCCCCCACCCCACCCACTCCCTGCTCACGCACCCTCTGACTTACCTCGCAAGTTTCACTGCCCTCTTTATCCCCCCTCCTGCTGTGAGGTGCGGTTTTTCTACCCTCTTCTCACCTTGTAAGCGCGCGCTGTGTCTGGCACGGAGCCGGTCTTGCCCGTCAGTTGGTTGGTGACCTCGTTGACTTTATCGTTCTCGCTGTTGACGGCCCCGATCAGCAGGTTGTTCGAGATGTTGTCCAGGTGGCCGCGGTACTTGAGCCAAGGCCCCGCCGCGGAGATGTGGTCAGTCGTGCACTTGCCCTTCACCTGCGGACACACACCGAACAGGACATCTCAACCCCAACGGCCACAACCAACCCGCAACCGAGCTCCCCTCCGACCGACCGACAGGTGGGCTCTGGGAAGCACTTCGAGACGTCCTCCGGACGTGAAAGGCGCTGTGTTAACTTAAAATGATTGTACTAATCTCGCATTTGATAAGGTGGCTTTCGCGTCAGGAGGACGTCTCGTGGTGCTGCACAAACCGGCTGCAGCGGTTCGCTCAGCAATAAGTAGAGACCCGGTTGTTAAGTCAATCGGCTGATCACTTTCTGGGAATAATAATCCCCCACCCCACTCCCAATGAAATATATAATAATGTGGTCACTCCATCCACGACTGTTTATGGGACACTTCACAGTGTATTCTGTGAAGCTCTTTCAGACGTCTCTCAACGACATGATAAGGCGCTATATCAAACGCAAAGATTATTATATCAATCAAATGCAAGGATTATTATTGTAATTATTATATCAAATGCAAGGATTATTATTGCAGGAGTGAGTGTGAGGGCCACACACCTTGATCAGCACCGGCATGTCATCCATATCCTTCTTGTTCCACTTGTCAAACGGCTCCAGTAGCTGCAGTCGGGTGCTCTTGGGATCCACCTTCACAGTGATGCCTTGACTGTCCTTTGGTGGGTGCTGATAGGTGTCCTGGCCTGGGTCAAAGCCCTTTATACGGGGGCAGAGAGAGAGAGGAGACAAACAATCACAGCCGTCCCTCGGCATCTGTTACAGCAACTAGTAACCTCAACCAGAGCGTGTCTAGTATTGTTCTACAAACCGTCACAGCTCCCTGTACACTGTCCGTCCGCATTCCCAGGTCAGGGTTAGAGACACAGTAAAGTTCCCTCTAGACTGCATCCACTCTCACAGGTCAGTGACAGCGTGGGTTTGATAGAATGAAGCGCAATTGTCACCACACAGACCACTTGCCACCACACACCTTGGATGGCAGCTCATCGGCGTGAGGTGGCTTCAGCTTGAATTTCTCTCCGTCGGCTCCGGTCAGCATGTCGCGCTCGGGGTCAAACTTCAAGGTGCCGGCGATGGCTAAAGCCGTGACGATCTGTCGGTTGGAGAACGTTCACAATCAGCACAGCAGTGAGGACACATCTCAGTGCGTTATCAGCACCTGGGACATCCTCCCGATGGAAAAGGCGCTATACAAATTTGTTGTTGTTCTTGTAATTTGCAACTTGTATTGCTTTCACTCCCCCCCCCCCCCCCAGTAAGGGAATGGGAGGGAGGGGGGGGTGGGAAGGAAAGGCAACCACCTAAACTATTCCCACTTTCAGACGTGCTTAAACCACAGGTAGACCGATCCCACACTCACACCTAGATATTCACTACACACACACGCCACACACACCACACAGTTACCTCAGGAGAGGTGACAAAGGCGTGCGTGGCTGGGTTGGCATCGTTGCGGCCAGTGAAGTTTCTGTTGTAAGAAGTCACGATGGTGTTCTTCTCGCCTTTCTTAACGTCCTTCCTTCGATAGGAAAGGGTTATGTGCAGGTTAGAAGACACACTGTACACGGCAGCTAACAGCAGCGCACCCAATCTCATGTTAACTGCAGCGTTGGCAGGGCGCTCTACCCTGGGTGAGGGTACGGCACCAGGCTACACGAATGAAAGTTGATGGCCTTTGGATCAGAAGGTCGTGGGTGGGGGGGGGGACTTCGAGCTCACAGTCTAGGGAGACAAGGGGGAGGAAAGAAAGGAACATGCTGCAGTGTTACGGTTGCCATCCTTCGCACGAGATGCTGAACCGAGGTCCCATCTGTGCCCATTCAGGTGGACATTGCAGTACCCAGGGCTCTGCTGTTAAGAGAGGAGTTTCGCCCAGTTTCCTGGCCTCCAAAAAAAAAAAACACACCCATAAAATTAACTGACTCTTTGTGGAACACTGATGTACATAAATTCACTGTTGGCTTTGGCTTTGCCTTCAAACGCGGTGAAGAGCAATTGCTGTGAAGCACTGGGAGACGTGTGGACATTATAGACAAATTACTCAAGCTACGACCGTTTGTGGGACATTGCTGTGCGCAACTGGCTGCCGCATTTCGCCCTCAAAATACACAGTCAGTTCACTTTGCAGTGTATCCTGTGAAGTGGTTTCAGGTGTCTGGACGGCGTGATAAGGATAAGATATCAAATGCAAGGATTATTAATATTATTAATTATTATAGTAGTCTTAAGTGTCTCAGCGAGAGCAAAGTGCTGTTCAGCCACCTCTACCTGTCCCACTGTCCAATACAGGGCCCACAGGCATTTGCTAGAACCACCCCACCAAAGTCTCTCAGGATCTTGGACTAAGGAGAGAGAGAGAGAGAGAGAGAGAGAGAGTCGGGTTAGATCACAGAGCATTGCCCTTCACAGATCACCTTCAGCATTAAAGCTGTTCAATATATGCAGTAAAACTCACACAAGTCTGATCTGGACAAATCACATAATCGCCAAGTTCCACGTTACAAGAGTTTAACACAAGTTTGACATTAACTCCTACTTTGCGTAAGTCGCATTAAATGTATGGTCCCAACTGAGGCATTTAATATTCACGCCCTGGTACCTCCCTACCTCTCCGACCTACTTACCTCTCCCCCCCCCCCCAACCCACTACCCGCTGCCTCCGCTCGACTGGCTCCGGGCTCCTGCTTGACCCCCGTGCCCTCCGTTCCACCACCGGTGGCCGCGCTTTCAGCCGCTACGCTCCGAAACTGGACAACACCCCCTCTGTCCCTCCTTTCCCATTTTCAGGTCGTGCCTGAAAACCTTTCTCTTTGACTTCGACTCCGGTCACCTCTCTCTCCCCCCCCCCCCCCCACCACCACCGGCTCGGTGTCAGGCTCCGCCACTGTCAAGGGTTCTGTGTCTCTGCCCTGCACGAGGGGCGGGCTGTGTAAATGCAAGTTGCTGTTGTTGCGCCTGATGCGAGGTTCACTGTACGAGGGAGCTGGGGTACTTACATAACCGTCTCTTTCGATGGTGGCTCGGATCTGCTCGGAGCCTGGCGTGACGGTGAACTGGGATTTACACTTCAGCCCGTGGTCGATGGCCTGCTGGGCAACAGCAGCCGAACGCCCCATGTCCTCGTAGCTGCTGTTGGTACAGCTGCCGATCAGACCTGCCAACACACAGCAACCGTGGCCGGCTTAGCGCAGGGTGAGAGCAGACAACCAACCACCTCCCTCCCCTCTGAAAAGAAGCCTTGTTTCGTTCACAAACAGCACAACAGTGAGCACCTCCATGTACACCTCGGTGTATTGCCGTTTCACCCACAAAAATACAGAGTCACTCCACTTTGTGGCGTATCCTGTGAAGCGCTTTGAGACGTCTCAATAAGGCGCTGCGTATCGCAGATTCTGTGCGTGCGAGCTCAGACAATGTGGGTCGGTGGGTAAGATGAGCGATGTGGGAAGCGAGTGTAACCTTATCCCATCACCCTCCGCCCCCACCTCCTTCTTCCCATTTTCAGCTGTCAAGTGCACTCAAGGAGACATCTCACACACACAGTGTGCTGAACCAAATGGAATCTCATAAGTTTCCGCAGTGGCAAAAAACACAGACTTAAAAGCCATCCCCTCCCCAATAGGACCCGTCAAATACAACACAGGGAGACCGTTTCCTAAGCTCACTCCTGGGACAGCGAAACCAGATCCAAAATGCGCAGCTGGAATTCCGTCACGGCGAGATCCTCTGATCACTCACCCACTTTGATCTCCAGAGGCCAGCCATGTTTCTCTGCTGCTGCCCCCACCTCAGACACTGGGTGAGCGAGGTCAGGGGTGAAGGGTCCATTAATGTGCGGTTTGAGCTAAAATATAGAGAAAACAGAAGCACGGTGATTATAATAATGATGATAATCCTTGCACTTAATATAGCACCTTATTACGTCCTCGAGATATCTCATATCACTTCACAGGATATACTGTAAAGTGAATTAACTGTATATTTTGTGGGCGAAACATGGCAATCAATGCGTACAGCAGCGTCCCACAAAGAGTCGTGGTTTGAATGACCAAAATATTATTATTTTCTTTTGAAAGGATTATTATCCCCGGTTAGCAATCCTTCAATCGACTGACAACCGTGTTCCTACTTACTGCTAGGTAAACGGAGGCGTGTGGAGTAAGGTTTCGCCCTGGTCGAACCAGGGTCCTCTTGCTTGTGAGTCGAGTGCTCTAACCACTACGCTACAGGAGTTCTGTAGCAGTCTCTGGTTCAGAGTTGAGGGTATAAATGCCAGTGACACCAGCCCTTCGGTGGAGTAAGATGTTAACAAGGACTGTCAGAGCCACCTTGCGACTAAGTAAGCTTCTGCTGGCTCTGCTCACACGTGAAGCCACTTACCTCATTCAAGTTTATCTCAATCAGCTGATCGTATTCACAGCCCTTGTCGGGCACCAGCAGGTCCTGGAACCCGTCAGCCAACTTGGCGATCTCTGAAACGAAGGGGCAGAGGAATTCTTAACCGGCTGTAATGATGTGGTTATACCACCCAATGATTTTATAGACATCCCATGGCGTTAAATTGGCATCTAGCGCACTAGGTAAAGTTTCTTGTGGGCAAATTGTGGTCAGACAAGTATTTGACACATGCAGAAAGCCATCTATCTGTGCATAAAAGTTTCCAAACCAGATAAGAATTCTACATATGTACACCTCCTACACTTCTTTGTGTCTGGAATAGAGTGCACACACTCTCTCCTCCCAAGCCTTGGATCTTTTCAACCAAAACCCCCAGAGGAGAGAGCGAGAGTGTGCGTTGGGGTAACTTAGGAGTCTAACCAGCTAAAACCAGCTTGCCATTGAGAGCGCTGTCTGGTAAGCTTTCCTGCTGAGAACCTTTTTTTGCCTTTAAACAAACTCACCTGATCTGCCGGTACTCTCCAAATAGATCTTCATCCTGTTGTTGTAAGGGAAGACTGATGTGGTGGCACCAATCTCAGCGCCCATGTTACAGATGGTAGCCATGCCTGCGAATGGAAAGCAGTTTCACTTGAGGGTGGAATACTTTTTGGGGAGTTAGCCGGGCATCTGACTCACGCAGACCTGCAGGTTTCCGCCTCAGGAACCAGACTAAGCATGAGTAGGATCAGGAGTAGGCCATTCCGCCCTTCGAGTCTGTTGTGCCATTTTATAAGATCATGGTTGATTTGTACCTCAAGTCCAGTTACCAGCCCTTGCCCCATATCCCTTAATACCCCGACCTAACAAATATCTATCACCTCCGTCTTGAAAATATGAACGGATCCAGCATCCGTGGCCTTTTGGGGGAAGAGAGTTGCAGATTTCCACTACCCTTTGGGTGAAAAACGGCTTCCTGATTTGACACCTAAAATATTCAGGTGGTCACCGACCTGAAATGTTAACTCACTTTCCTCTCTCTCTCCATAGGTTCTGCCTGACCTGCTGAGTGCTCCCAGCGACTTCGGTTATCATTGCTGTACTAGTCGGTGTCTGTCCGGCGTGTGTTACCTGTGCAAGAGATGGACTCCACTCCCGGCCCGTGGTACTCCACTATAGCGCCGGTACCGCCTTTAACCGTCAAAATGCTGGCTACTTTCAGGATGACGTCTTTCGGGGAAGTCCACCCAGACAGCTCTCCCGTCAAATTCACACCGATAACCTGCAAGGTATTTCAGTGAGCGTTTTCAGTCAATAATAATAATCCTTCCATTTGATAGGAGCGCCTTTTCACGTCTTCGAGGCATCTCTTAAGCGCTTCACAGACTCTACTGCAAAGTGTAGTGGCCGTATATTTTGTGCAATCCATTAGATTTTATACAGCACCTATTAAGTCAGGAGGATGTCTTCACCAGATTTACTGTATTTTGTGTGGCAGTCAATTTGCCCACTAAGAGCCATGAAACAAATGGACAATTTTATTTAAAGGGAATTGTCGGCCAGAATACCAGAAGAGAGAGAGAGATAGAAAAACTCCCTTCTCTTATTTTTAACAATGTCATGAGAATCTTAACAGGCAGACGGGACCTCAGGTTGAGGTCTTATCGGAAGAACGGACCTCGGAAAATGCAGTGTTCCCCCAGCACTGCATTTTTAGCCTCAGGCTAGACAGAATGAGTTCCAAGCCTTGATGTGACGAGGGGCTTGAACCGACTGACACCCAAAAGTCCATCGTAAACAAAACAACAACTTGACAGTGGCGGTGCATAATTCCGAGCCTGGGGGGTGGGAGAAGGGAGCGGTGACCGTAGGCACTGTCGAACAGGAAGGTCTTCAGGCGCAACCTCAAAATGGGGAAGGGACAAGCGGAGGGATAGAGGACGTAGCCCAGAATTTCAGGGTGTAGATGTAGTGGCTGAAAGAGCGGCCACCAAAGGTGGCACGGAGGGCAGGAGGCCGGAGCTAGTCAAGCAGAGGTAGTGGGTTGGGGGAGTAAGCAGGTCAGAGAGGTAGGGAGGTGCCAGGACATGAAGGGATTTGAAAAACAATCCCACTCTAGATTGCTTCCTGCCGGAAGGATAAACTGGAGTCTTTTACCTTCGGGCACTTTAGTTCCCAAGGGATACCCGCCATCACATCAACTGCATCGGCTCCTCCAACCCCAATGCAGACACCACCCAGCCCACCACCGTTAGGCGTATGAGAGTCGGTCCCGATCAGCAGCACGCCAGGGAAAGCGTAGTTCTCCAAGACAATCTGCAACAGAGAACTCCCGTAGTCAACGACGACAGCAACAACTTGCATTTATAGAATAGTAAATAATTCTTGCAGTTGATATAGCACCTTATCACATCGTTGAGACGTCTCAAAGTGCTTCACAGAATATATTGTCAACTGAATTACCTGTACGTTTTTGTGGGTGAAGCACGGCAGCCAACTGCACGCAGCAGTGTCCCACAAACAGTCATAGATCAAGTGACCAAATCATTAAAAAAAATGTTTGTAAGGGATTATTACCACCGGAAAGTGATCCGCCAATCGATTAACAATCGGGTTCCTGCTTGCTGCTCGGTAAACAGCGTGTGTGGAGTAAGAAAACTTGCCAAAGTTTCACCCTGGCCCAGGAATCAAACCCAGGTCCCCTGACTTGTATTGTTGAGCGCTCCAACCACTACAGGACTCAAGGAGCGTGGGGTAGAACCTCAAAGCACATTGCCAACCCGCACTAATGTAGGAGCTTCCACATGGGAAGGACTCTCTCAAACCCTGAGCTGCCGAGTCAGTCGTACAGTACAGGCGATGGGGTCAGAGAAGGATCACAAAAACTAAGTCAAAGAAGATTTTACCTGATGGATAATACCAGAGCCAGGTTTCCAGAAGCCAACTCCATACTTTGCTCCAGCCGTCGCCAGGAAGTTATAAACTTCTTCATTTATATTCTGCACATTAAAATAAAAAGTGATGATAGTAATAATGATCCTTGCATTCAATAAATTTTGTTAAGGGATTATTATCCCCAGAGAGTGATCCTGCAATTGACTAACAATTCGGGGTTCCTACTTACTGCTAGGTAAACAGAAGTGTGTGGAGTGAGGAAACCTGCTTAACGTTTCGCCTCGCTAACTTGGGAATCGAACCCGGGTCCTCTCGCTTGCAAGGCGAGCGTGCTAACCACTGTGCTATGGGGATTTTTCTTCACGTACCTTAGCTCTGGCCAGATCTTGCTCCCCTCCGATTTGAGCCTCGATCAAGTGATCGCAGTGGATAGTAGATGGCACGGCGACCTGAGGTAACCCGCTGCTGATAAACTGGAGCATGGCCATCTGGGCGGTGGCGTCTTGCATAGCCACGCGGTCTGGCCGTAGCCGGAGGTAGGTCTGCCCCCGGGCAATGTCCTGGTGGACGGGGTCATCCAGGTGACTGTACACAATCTTTTCTGACAGAGTGAGTGGTTTGTCCAACCTGGCCCAAGAAAGGGGAGGAGGAGGGGGGGGGGGAAGGTTATTCATCAATCACGAGTAACTTGGAATAAAATCAATTTCCTCTCTTCAAAATTGCATTCACTCAGCGCCTTTTATGGTGGGAGGATGTCCCAAGGCACTGGATGGACAGTCAGTGATTTGGACTCGAGCTGGGGCTTGGGCTCAGGAGGGAGCGGTAGGGGTAGGAGGGTGACCAAAAGCGTGGTCAAAGAGGAAGACATGCTTTGAAGGAGGCGAGGTGAAGTGACTGTGGGATGGAGTTCCAAAGGATAGGGCCAGAGAGGTTGAAGCCCCGACCGTCGATGGTGGGGCAGGGAGGGTGGGCCTTCGGAGGGAGTGGACAGATTGGTATGGGGTTACCAGGTCAGAGAGGTAGGGAGCAATTACCTTTTGCGAATAATGCCAAGGTTCTTGTGCAGTTTCTCATAGTTGATGAACTCGTTGGGCTCGAAACGGCTCATTGACACTGCGGCTCTTCGACAGGCCGAAGAGATTCGATACGTCCGTGCCCCATGGCCGAGGGTTTGCTACGTAGAACAGGAGATCAGCCATTACTGCACATTTCATGTAACTATCCAGAGCAGTTGGCGCATCCCCACAAAAAAAACCTTCCCCATTACACATCACTTTAGCCACGAGACTTGGTAGCCAGAAAATAGAAGAACACAGTGCCTTGCGATGAGGAAGGCACTTCAAGGAAACTGTTCCTGCAAAACATTCTGCTCCCAGTCATGCAATGCTGATGGCGGGGTCAGTTAAGGGATACTCTGTGACTTCCATCACCCGCTCTGAGCACGAACCAGGGCCACGAAGGCAAGTCACGAGCCTCTAACAACCACGAAAACTCAGCCACCTTCAGCATATGAGTCTCAGTTTCAGTCGAGGGCTGTGATTGCCAATAACCTGTTTAGCTGAAGCCTTAACTTCGCCTTTCAGTCTTTTGAGATCACGTCGCTCACTGAACTTTAGTCTTCAAATTGTGTAGCGCGCTTCACGCAGGGCAGTGTCTAGTAGCAGTGGGGGGGGGTGGAGGTGGCCACAAGCACAGTCAAAAAAAAAAGGGGGAAGGAAGGGGGGGGGCGATGCGGAGGGATTGAGGGGACGACAGTTCCAGACCTTTGCGGCGTAGTGGCTGAATTCTCTCTGAAACACTGGCAGCTTTCTGCAGTTTTACAGCGAGTCTGTTTTCCCTCTCGCTCGACAGTCAGACAGACAGCTTGAGTGAGCTCGGCACCCGACCAATTGGCAGCCATCGGAGTTTCTTCCCACCCCAGCCCAGCCCAGCTCAGCCCAGCTCAGCCCAGCCCAGCCCAGGCCAGAGGACACGCAGCTTCAGGGTTTTGAAGGTCAACTTCAGGTCAGAGAAATCGACGGCAGGACCTCCGAGGCTGAAGGTCAGGGCCCGAACCCGGCGCTTTGACCTCTTGCCTCGTCGAGATCCCGGTCCTCTCTCTCTCTCTCTCTCTCTCTCCTTAACCCCGGCGTTCTGCAGCCCGCCGCGCCCGGCGGGGAGCGCGCCGCAGCGGACAGGGTGGCGGGACGGAGAGAGAGAGAGAGAGAGAGAGAGAGAAAAAAAAAACCCGCAGCCTCGCAGTGTGTGGTGGGGGACGGGGGGACGGGGGAGGGGGGGGACGGAGGGGGTGAGAACGCTTTCCCGCGACCTTCGGACTCGGGAAGGCGAAAGGGAAAGGAAAAGAAGGCGCAGGGAGCTGCCCGCGTCTTGAGACAGTGATGGTGGAGGGAGGTGGGGGGGGTGGTGGTGGGGGGTGGGGGGGTAGAAGGAGGAAGGGGAAAGGTAAGGGGGTGGGGGTGGTGGGGGGGGGGGGTGGGCAGCGACCCAGGGGGGGTTTTTCGCCGTTAACCTTGCCTTCACCTTGGGTCCCGGAGCCGGGTTTGGGGAGGGGGTGGAGGGTGGGGGGTGAGGAGAGAGAGAGGTGTGGGGATGGCGGTGGGTTGCAGCTGGAGGTCCGGTTGCCATGGTTACCCGTTCGAGCGGGAGGCGAACCGACCGCTGGAGGCGGCGGCGGCGGACGCGGCCCCGCGAGCGGCCGCTGAAGAAACCAAACGCCGCCTCCCGCCTCTTCCCCGCCTACACCCTCACCCCCATACCCCGGGAGCGTCCCGCTCGACCTCCCTCATCCCCCCCGGCCCGCTCCCTCCCTCACACACCGCGCCTCGGCCCGGGTTTACCTGCAGTCGGCGGACGGTGAGGACGCGAGCCGCCATTTTGTTCACTGACAAAGATGCCGCCCGCGTGTGACGTCATGACGTCGGGGGGGGGGTGACGTATATAAAGGCAGGTCAGGTCCTGGCCGCTCGGTACAGTTTTTTTTTCCGCCAATCACTGAGGTCTGAGGTCCTGGCCGATATATACACACACACATATATATATATATATAGAGAGAGAGATATATATATATAGAATCAATCAATCCTGTAGCTCAGTGGTTAGAGTTTGGGTTCGATCCCACCCAGGGCAGGGTGAAAAATAGGGCGAGTTTCTTTACTCCGTACACACACGCGCGTGCGCACGGACGCGCGCCTCTGTCTACCCGGCAGGAATTTGGGAACCCGGTTGTTAGTCGTATTGGCGGATGGCTTCTCCGAGGGTCGGGGAGGGGGCGGGTAATAATAATTCCTTCAAAATAAATAATAGTTATTTTGGCCACTGCTGGCTGGCAATCGGCTGGGCTTGGGCTTGGGCTTGGGCTTGAACCCCCCCCCCCCAGCCCCGTCTCGCCCTCAAAACATCCAGTCAATTCGCGTGACGGTCTGTTCTGCGCAGCATTTTGAGACGTCTTGAAGGTGTGAAGCGCTATGTCGAATGCAAGGATTATTATTATTATTAATCAATTTTGGCAGGTTGGGCAGGTGTGTGTGTGTGCGTGGTGTGTGGAGTCATTAGTAGGAACTTTAATCAATAATAATAATACTCCTTGCGCCTTATCACGTCAGGACTTCTCAATAAATATACATGATTATCAATGATCAATGTGAATAAAATATTTAATTTTTATTAGTTGATTAATTATCAATAATCAAAATGAATAATGGTAAAAATAACCTTAAAAATCAGCTGCCGGGGAGGGGGGAATGTGTCTGGGGGGAAGGGGGGTATTTGAAAGGGAGATTAGATGTTTTGGGGTGAAACATAGATTTCTCAATTAAATATATAGATGTTTCTGTGAAATATTGAGATTTTGCTGTGAAATATATAGGTTGTTTATAAAATATAGAGATTTTGAAGCGAAATATATAGATTTTGATGTGAAATATATAGATCTTTTATGAAATCTATCGATTTTGATGTGAAACATATAGATTTTGATGTGAAATGTATAGATCTTTTATGAAATATATCGATTTTGATGTGAAATATATAGACTTTGATGTGAAATGTGTAGATTTTTAATGAAATACATAGATTTTGATGTGAAATATATAGATTTTTGATGTGAAATGTATAGATTTTGCTGTGAAATGTGCAGATTGACAATGAAATATCCAGGTGTCGGGGTGAGTGGCTCAGGGGCCCTGTCAGTGATTGGCTCGGGGCTGGGGGGGGGGGGTCACGCCTCACTTCCGGTGAGGGTTGGCGAGGTCACGCCTCACTTCCGGTGAGGGTTGGCGGGTTCGGAGCGCGCGCGCGAGGCCAATGGCGAAACACCACCCGGACCTGATCTTCTGCAGGAAACAGGCCGGCGTGGGTACGTGAGGGGCAGAGAGAGAGGGAGAGAGTGTGAGAGGGGGAGGGAGGGAGAGAGGTAGGGAGAGGGTGTGGGGGAGGGAGAGAGTGTGAGAGAGAAGGAACGAGAGTGTGGGGGAGAGAGTGAGAGAGAGGGGGAGGGAGAGTGTGGGGGAGAGAGTGAGAGAGAGGGGGAGGGAGAGTGTGGGGGAGAGGGGGGGAGGGAGGGAGAGAGTGTGAGAGGGGGAGCGAGAGTGGGGGAGGGAGAGAGAGTGTGAGAGAGAGGGAACGAGAGTGTGGGGGAGAGAGAGAGGGAGGGAGAGTGTGGGGGAGAGAGTGTGAGAGAGAAGGGGAGGGAGAGTGTGGGGGGAGAGAGGAGGGAGGGAGAGAGTGTGAGAGAGACGCAGGAGGGAGGGAGAGTGTGGGGGAGAGCCAGGAGGGAGGGAGAGAGTGTGAGAGAGAGGGGGAGGGAGAGTGTGAGAGAGAGAGTGTGAGGGGGGGTAGAGGGAGGGAGGGAGGGGGAGAATGAGAGGGAGGGAGGGAGGAAGAGAGTGTGAGAGAGAGGGGCAGGTAGAGAGGGGGGGAGAGAGAGAGTGTTTGTGTGAGAGGGGGAGGTAGAGAGAGTGTGTGAGAGAGGGAGGGAAAGAGAGAGTGTGAGAAAGAAAGAGGGTGTGTGGGAGAGGGAGGGAGAGAGTGTGAGGGAAGAAGGGAGGGAGTTTGTGTGAGAGAGAGAGAGCGAGTGGGAGAGGGGGAGTGTGAATCAATGAATGAGGGTGTGTGCGTGAGAGAGAAAGGGAGGGAATGAGAGAAAGATAGTGTGGGAGGAAGAGGGGGATGTGAATGAATGAAGGCGTGAATGAATGAGAGCAGGAGAGAAAGAGAGAGTGTGAGGGAGGAGAGAGAGAAAGAGCATGTGTGCGATGGGGGAAAAAGAGTGTGTGTGTGAGAGAGAGAGAGAAAAAGAGGGGGTGAGCGAAGGAGAGGGAGTGTGTGAGAAAGAGGAAGAGTTTGTGTGTGTGTGTGTGTGAGAGAGAGCGAGAGGGGGTGAGTGGAAGAGGGAGAGAGATGTGGGGGGGGGGTGGATATTGAGTGGATGGGAGGGGGGGAAGATGAGGTGGAGGCAGAGTGAGGGGACTCTAAACTTCTTAAAGGGTAAACGGTTGGGGATTAAGGTGGAGAATGGCAGAGGAGAGCTCACCAGTCAATACCTGTATCCGTTTGAGCCAATAGCTTCAGCAAAGGGGAGCGAGGAGTCAACTGGGGAAGCCAAACAGTTAATGGCGTGTGTAGGTCTGAGTCTGACCTGAATCTGTCTCTCTTTACTTTGCAGCTATTGGAAGATTGTGTGAGAAATGTAAGTACCATTTTTGGAATCTTTTTATTTCAGTATTTTATTTCCCCCGCCAGTTACTAACAGGCGATGGATTTGCTACAGCACCTTCCTTGTGACTTGCTGGGGAGGTTTGTCTTCCTATCCGGGGTCTTAACATCTCAAAGTGATTCACTGGGTTTTACTGAAAATAGGGGGGGGGGTGACTTTTTTTTAGATGAAAGCAGAAGCCCATTTGCGCACAGCAATGTTCCACAAACAGCCATGAAGCGAATGAACGATTTTACCTGGAAGACTGTTAGCCAAGACACGAGGAGACATTCTCTTCAAATTGTGCTGTGGAATGTTTGGTGTCTGCTTGAACAAGCAGATGGGAGCTTGGTTTAACATCTCGCCTCAAAGGCGGTACCTCCAATAATGCAGCATATTCCAGCGCTGTGGTGTCAGCCTAGACTGGATTCAAAGTCCCGGTGTTGGGTTTGAGCCGAGAACTTTCCGTCTCGGAGGTGAGAGTGCCACCGCTGAGCCAGGCTGACACGGTTTGGGTATAGTTAGCAGAGGAGACAAGTGGTTCACAGTTTGTTGTGTGATTGGAACATGAATACAATCCCTACAGGCTGATGAAAATATTGAGACCATTGTCACTTCAAAACTTTGCTGGAAAGTGCTGGTTTTTAGTTGTAGAAAGTCACCCACCTATTGAATTCCTATAGAGAATGTGGCCTTTTAACCACTCTTTAATGGCCAGCAAAAAAAACCTTATGTGAAATAAGCACTGACCCATCCAAAAAGTCCCCAAAGTACTACCAGTAATAATAATCCTTGCATTTGATATGGCGCCTTATCACATTGTTGAGACGTCTCAAAGCGCTTCACAGAATATATTGTAAAGTGGTCTGACTGTGTATTTTATGGGTGAAACTTCACACAAAGTTCAGTAAGTGTATGCAGGCAAGTTTAGCAGCTAACCAGCCAAGTCCTGCAGAGCACAACAGCAACAAATTACACTCGTATAGCGCCTTTCACTGCAGCAGGACATCCCAAGGCGCTGGACAGTCAGGGATCTGCACCTGAGTTGGGGGTTGGGATCCTGAAGTGGGGAGAGTAGGAGCATGACCGAAGGCATGGGTGAAGGAAACGGGGGGGGGGACTGTGGGATGGAGTTCCACAATAACAACAACTTGCAAGTATACAGCGCCCTTTACGTTGGGTAGTGTTCCAGAGGGTAGAGCAGAGAAGCTGAAGGCCCGCTAGTGGGGCGGGCAAGGCGGGGGACGCGAAGCGGGCTGGCGCCTGCTGAGCGGAGTGAGCGGACAGGTTGGGTGGGGGGGGGTTAGGGGGTCACAAAGGGGCAGGGCCGCGATAAGCCTTTAAGGCAAGTGTAAAGCGGAGCGACTGTATATTTTGTGGGCGAAACGCAGCAGCCAATTAGGTTAGGGTTAGGCCATGAAGGGCTTTAAATCTTGAAACCATCCTGAGTGACGGGGAGCCAGTGGAGCTGGGCTGATTCGTGTCTTCTTGACAAGCCCGCGCGAGAAAGGTGCATTACTCAGTGTATCGATTCACTGACCTAGTGAGCCTAAAATTACGAGAGGGGTTTTGATAAGGTCAAACCAGGGAAGCTGCTTCTACTCTACTGGTGGAGGGGTGGGGGAAGTTATTGTCGACCAATAGAGGGTGCAGTGCAAAAATATTTCCTGCCCAAGAAAGAAAGGTTGGGGTCATTTTTCTTTCCACAAAAGGTTATCGGGACATACAATGTTCTGCCATAAATTGGAAGTTGGACAAAATCCATAATAGCTTTTAAGAGTTTGGGGAAAGAGTTAGGCGGATAGCTCTTTCGGACCTGATGGGCTGATTGCTGCCTCCCGCGTTGAAGATTCCTGTGAGCTGTCCCGATTTCAAAACCCTGCCCGTAAGATCTTGTCTCTTCCAACAGCCCTGGCTATTAAGGACCCAGCTTTAAGGCTGTATGATTTTTTTCATCCGATTTCTGTGCCGGTTTGTAGTGTGGAGTCTCTTTATATGGTTCCTTTTGTAGAAATAAAACGCTTTATGGCTAATCGTGGTGTCCCGTAGGGTATCGGTTATGGCTATAGCTATAGCGCACGCCCCTGGTTCGATTCCCAGCAGGTTGAAACCTTAGGCAAGTTTCCCTACTCCGAATGCCTCTTGTTTACCTCGCAGGATGTAGGAACCCACTTGTCAGTCGACTGGCAGATTGTTTTCCCGAGGATAGTAATCTCCACCCCCCGCCCCCAAAAAACTGGTCACTCAATCCATGACAGGGACGCTGCTGGGCGCAGTTGACTGCTGTGTTTCGCCCACAGAATACACAGTCAATTCAGTTTACAGTACGTTCTGCGAAGGCGTCTTGAAGACACGATAAGGCGCTGTGTCAAATGCAATTATTATTATTGTTATTATAAAATACTATTGTGTAAAAAAAAAATAGCTTGGTGTCAAGCTCCGCCACTGTTAAGCGTACTGTGACGCTACCCCGCAAGTTGTTGTGTTTCTACATCCCCGAATTACCTCTTTATTTTCTTTCTCATTCGTGCCACTGGGTGGCACACAAGTATTTTGTGCAGGGCCGAGGCGAGAGGGGGAAGTGGATCCAAAATTGGATTTGGACCATCTATTTGTGCTTGAGGTTTCCAGAGTTCAATGAATCGAAACAAAACTTCATTGAAGCCAGGAATGTTTTTGTTTCTCAAAGTTTCTTGGTCTAATTAGTCCACAGAAAATCGATTCACAGCTTACTGTACTGCAGCCAGATAAGGTTACCCGTCCCTGCTAAAGACCGCATTGAGGCTGAGACCGGCTTTGTGTGTGTGCGTTGGAGGGTAGGTGGGGGGGGGGGGAGAGAGAGTGGGGGAGGGAGAGAAAAGACTGGGCTGTCTTCCTCTGCTCAGTCTCCCACCTCTGGGGACTGAATCTGTGCCTAAATAAATGTTCCTTGTGAAATAAACATTGGCATGCAGTGAAGCGTGCATTCCACTGAGTCCATACAGTGAGGGACTGCGGTTTGGAACCAGTCTCCTGTGGGCACTGGGTACAGTGAAGCCCTTCTGTATTTGTTCATACAACAGCCAGACTTTTAGTTGCGCCTCACTGTTACTTCCTCCCCGATCCCTTCATTCAATCCTCCCTCCCCCACCTCTCCGCTCCGCATCGGGACTTTGAGCTCACAATCTAAGCTGACACGCCAGGGCAGTTCTGGGGGGTGAGGGCTGCATTGTAATAAGAGACGCGCCTTTCCTTCTGATGAGACGATAAACAAAGTCCCAATGGCACTTTGTGAAAAGAGAAGAGTGAGTTTCTTCCCGTTATTCCCGGCCAACAATCTTCCAGATGAATCAGCCGTTTGTGGGACATTACGTGCAAAGTGTCTGTTGCGTTTCCCTGCGGAAACCCCCCCCCCCGCCCCGCCCCCCGCCATTGATTCCTGTAAAGTACTTTGAGTTGTCTTAATGTGGGGTGGCTGCAAAATTTCAGCGTTCTTTCGCTGTCCCCACTGTATTTCACCCGAGTTGTCAGCTTTCATGTGTGAGTCCAGGCATGTAGTGGCAGGATATTTGCCCGGGGCGTCACAGAAGTGTCTGTTACTATATTTGCTTTCTATCCCTGTCACACTGCTTGCCAATAGGACCTGCTGAACGCGAGTTAGGAAACGGTCGCTTCTCTTAAAGGGTAGCTCAGACGCACTGAGACTTACGTAGCGCCCCTACCTACCAGTCCTGGAGTCCTGCAACGTCGTGGTTAGCGCACTCGCCTCGCAAGCAAGAGGACCCAGGTTCGATTCCCGGTCGGGGCGAAATCTTAGGCAACTGTCCTTACTGCTAGGTAAATAAGAGGCGTGTGGAGTAAGTAGAAACTCTGTTGTCAGTCAGATCGGTTTCTGGGGGTAATAACCCTTTCAGAAATAGGGTCACTCATTCCACGACTGTTTGTGGGACGCTGCTGTGCGCAATTGGCTGCCACGTTTTGCCCACAAAGCACACAAGTCGATCCACTTCACGGTGTATTCTGTGAAGCGCTTTGAGGCGTCTCGACGACGTGACGAGGCCTTATGTCAAATGCAAGGACTCTTATTATTCATCACCTGCGGAGGTTCGGGTGAGACCGACTCGCTCGGGAAGCGTGGGTTAAGCCTGAGACCTTCCTTTGTTGTTGCGGTTGGGTTCCAGACTGAAGTTCTTTACCAACTGAGCCATTAAATGCTTATCTGGGCTCAAGGTCATGTAGTCTTACGGAACACAGCCCCCCCCCCCCCCCCATGTATCTTTCGTTTCTTTTGATACAACACATCAGTAAGGTTTAAACTAGTAAAGTGGGGGGTGGGGGAGAGTCTATTTTTTATCAGAGTTGCTGTTCCTCAGATGACATGTCGATGCATTGGCTTGATTCATGCCCCCACCCTACTCGCCCCACACCATTCTGGAACTCTCTTGCCTCCTTCGAGGTCCGTCTCAAGACCTTCTTCTTCGACGGCGCTTTTGGGCATTTTCCCTCTCCCCCCCCCCCGCCCCCCACCCCCCAACACGCACAGATCGACTGTCCGGCAGTTTGAGTCGTCTTCTCGAAGTGATAGGTGCTATATAAAGTGCAGTTTGTTATTGTTAAACTGAAGTCCTATCTGTCTGCCTGTCTAGTTGGACATAAAGTTCCCACAGCACAATTCAAAAAGAGGAGTTTCTCTCAGTGTTCTGGCCAAAACTCCTCAAGGTAAATTGGGCGTTCACTTAATGGTTGGTTCTGGCAGCTAGTCCCACACAAAACATTTCCCACAAAATAATCAGCGAGCGCACTTGCAGCGGTGGTGTGAAACGCAAGCAAGGATGTCAATTAGTGCATGCAAGGGGAGAAAGAAAATTGCACGGTCCTTTCTGCGCTATCTTTCTGTTGAAAGCACAAACCGGTTTCCCCAGTCCTCCCTCTGGCTTTCTGCTGCGTCAGCTCCGCTTGACGGGCGCGCAGTCTGGCTTCGGGTACATGAAGCCCTGTAGCATAGTGGTTCGAGC